GACAGCTGTTTAAATACAGTTTTGTAGTTATTTTTCTCTCTATTGGTTCACAGGACTGCTTATTTCACTTAGATAAATTAGGCTGGAAGCCTTCTATGGGCAAGAAGTATATTGTTTCTTTCTAATTTTTTTTTTTAGCAGACAAGTTCTTAACCTCAGTTCTGTGAACTTTTTTTTTAAAATTTTAATAACTGTATTGCCATATAATTAAGTTCCTTGAGGGCAGGGATTGGCTTTCTTTGTATTATTTGTGTCCCCAGAGCTTAGTACGACGCCTCACACATAGTAGATGCTTAATAAATGTTTATTAGATTGGATTGGATATGATTGGCTTCTTTTGCAGTCATATACATTTAATATACATTTGATGCATTTAAAAACATTATTCTGAGAAGTTCACAGGCTTCAGCAAGCTGTCCAAAGGATCCATAAGGCAAAAAATCAGACTTGCTTTGCTTGAGCAAAGGCCAGAAGTCCCAGAGTCATGGATTCAGAGATAGAGGGATCATCAAATTACAACCGCCACAGTTTTTTTTTTTAACAAAGGGGAAACTTAGGCCTAGGAGGGTGAGGTGTTTTTTTTTTTAGTGTCACCTAAAGCCTGAGGTCATAAAGGGAGTAAGCTGCAGAAGTGGCGCATCCTTGGTCTCCAGAGCCAGGGCTCTTTGCACTGTGCCATCGATCACTGGGTAGCAGATCCAGAGCTGGAAAGTCCTTAGATGACATCAGAGTCCAAGATGAGGAAGCTAAGGCAGTGAAGTGACTTGGCCAGAGAGGTAGCAGAGGTGGGACGAGAAGCCGAGTCTTTTGGATTACTTCACGGAGGGGCTAAGAAGGGAGGCGATCAATTAGCAAGCATTTATAAGCTCCTACTGTGTGCCAGGCACTGAGATGCAATGACGCCCTCAAGGAGTTTACGTTCTTTTAGAGGGCAACCCCCCCCCCCACGAGAGGATTTTAGATATCCTGCTGTCCCTAGTGAGTCAAGCAAGAAGCATTTATTAAGCTCCTGCTGTGTGCACTGTGCTGCTTGCTGGGGATACAGAGAAAGGCAAAAGGTAGCCTAAGACCCTGTAGCTCCAGAATTGCCTTTGTGAGCCTCTTGGCCTGCTTCTCCTTGTACTTCAGCTGCCCATCTGAGCGTTTTAGGACCTTCGCCCCCACCCCTGTTTTCCCCCTTCTTGATTCCTCCTTGTGTGTGGCTTTTAGAAGGAGTAAAGGTATGTTTGTCTAACCTCATCTCGCTTGAATAACACAGGTGGTTTCAAAATTAGTTCCTTTTGACAACAAGTAAGGCCTTTGTGGGTCTGGGTCTGGCCAAACCGGACGTGGTGCTTTTGTTGTAACCCGATAAAGGGTGCTGGGGCGAGCCTCACCTCGCCTTGTTTTCTCATCAGTGGCCATGGAAGGAAAGCAGTGCCCAGGCAGTAGGACTGCTGCAAATAGAGCTTTATCCACTAGGATGCTGGAGGCAGGGAGCTTGGGTTTGAATCCTGCCTCCAAGGTTCCCTACCTATGTGGCCTTGGGCACCTGGCTTTTCCCCTCTAGGCCTCAGTTTCCTCATTTGTAATGAGTAACAACAAACAAAGAGGGCTTTAAGATTTACAAACTGTTTATATTATTAAGAGCGTATTATTTGATCCTCATGACAACCCTTGGGAGGTATGTCCTATTATGATTCCTCTTTTACAGAGAAGGAAACTGAGGCTTAGAGAAGAACACTGCTTCCCCAAGTTCCTTCTGACTGCCAAGCTGAGCACTCCTTCTCCCGTACTAAAAGTCACCCTCTATCCATAAAATGAGGAGGTCGCATTGGACAGCCTCTGAGGCTCCTGGCCAGTTTGAATCTGTGATGCTACCTTTCAGGAGACTGGCCTCTTGCACTGATAGGTGGTAAAGTAACGTGTGCCATGCCTTAGGAGGGAAGCCCCTGGGATGAAGCTGAGACTCCTTGGGCAGGGTGGGGTGGAGGGGGCGGGGAAGAGAGAGAGAGAGAGTGTCTGTGTGTGGGTGTTGGGAGTGATGGAGTGAGGTTGAGATTATCTCTCTGGCAACCTCCAGTTTAATTCAAGAAACCTTTTTTTTTTTTTAAAAGCACCTACTATCTTCTGGGCAGTGGATCTTAGGTTAAGAACCCCTTATCTAAGATGACCTTGAGGTTGTAAAGCTGAGTGGAAGGATAGCATTTCTGCCCGTGGAAATAGAGATGTATGGAGGAGAAGGACATTGTGACAGGAAAATGAGGAATTCCATCTGGGACTTTAAAAGTTGGAAATAGAGGTGGGACATCCAGGAGGAGTGGCCAGTGGGTAGAACAGGACTGGAGTGCTAGAGAGGGATTGGGTAGGAGCCCTAGATTTGGGAATCGCCTGCCTTGAGCTGATGGAATCCGTGGGAATGGCTGAGTTGCCTCTAGGAATGCAGTGTTGTGAGACCCCCACACTTTTGGGGCAGGACCTGGGTAGTGACTGTGCAGAAGAGACTCATGCTAAATAACCAGAGAAGAGACCTGGGAGATGTTTCTTTGCAGAGGTGGGGGGCTGGGGATATGGAAAACACTGCGTGTAATGGTAGACTTTTTCAATATTGTGGTTAGTGTTGCTGAACCTTTCCCCCCTCTTATTTTATTTAATTTTTTTTAAGGCAGTTGGGGTTAAGTGACTTGCCCAGGGTCACACAGCTAATAAGTGTCAAGTGTTTGGTCTGAGCCGGATTTGAGCTCAGGTCCTCCTGACTTCAGGGCCGGTGCTCTATCCACTGCACCGCCGAGTTGCCCTCCCCCCTCTTATTTTAATTGTAAAGTATGGTTCTTTGGGAAAGGAAGACATTGGGAAATGTGAGAATGTAAAAAGATAACAATATGAATTTGTTTCAATAAAGGAAAACTGGGAGGGAGCAATGTCAGGAAGAGTGAATGGATTGTCCCCAGTGTCAGGGGGACTGTAGAGAAAGGCAGGGAGGTTGAGGCTGGGTGTTACGGAGAAGAGGACACTGGCTCCTCCCACAGTGAGCTTGGGTACTCACTTCCCCTGCTTTTTCTTCTGTCAACTGAAGGGGTCGGATGAGATGGCCTTTGAGGGGCCTTCCTACTATAGCCCTGTGATCCTGTGCTGAGACAGTGCTGGCAGCTGGAAAGACAGACAGACAGAGACAGAAAAGAAGAGATACGGGAGGGGGGAAGAAAAAAGGAGTGACAGAGAGAGACAGAAAGGGGAGACAGAGACAGAAAAGGAGAGATACGGGAGGGGGGAAGAAAAAAGGAGTGATGGGGAGACAGAGGAGACAGAGAAACAGAGAGAGAGAGAGAGAGAGAGAGAAGAGGAAAAAAAAGATGTGAGGTGAGTGGAGATGATGGGGCCAGAGAGAGCCGGCTTTTAGGAGATTGAGAATGACGTGAAGGAGGGTGTAGGCAGTGTGTATAGACGGCTCTTTCTAGTTCAGTCATGAAAGGAATAGATGAGGCAGGGCCATATCTTGAGAACATAGCAAAGGCAAGGAAAGGTTTTATTAATGATGGGTGAGAGTGAGAAGTGGAGGGAGGGGCCTGAAGGTGCTGCTAGGTCCTGGAGGAGGAGACAGTAAAAGGGGGAGAGCTAGAAAATGAGAGAGGGCTAATTGGCAAAGATGGGATAGACTAATAATAATAATAATGATAATAAGGATAATAATCATTAATAGCTGACAGAATACTTTACATCTATGTGTATCTATATCTAAGGAGGAATCCTCTTGATAAATAGCTAGGTGGCTCAGGGCTGAGTGTCAAAATTGAAGTTAATTAGGAAGACCTGTGTTCACATTCTGACTGTGACGCTTATTGGCTGTGACTTGGGGCAAGTCACTTCACCTTTGACTGCCTCTGTTTCCTCATCTGTAAAATGGGAGTCATAATAACTCAAGGTTGTGGTGATGAATGATGTCTGTAAAGTGCTTTGCAAATCTTAAAATTATATATAAATGTTAGTAATAATAATAATGATAATAATAATGTTAGGTACTGCAAGTATTTGGGATAGAGGGGACAAGTAGATGAGCTGGTCTTGGTAAGTAGAAGGGCAGTTTCTCGGAGGTAGGAAGGTCCATGGGGATGGAATGCTGCATATAATGTCAGACTGTTTCAATATGTTGGTTAGTTTTGCTGAACTCCCCCCCCCAATCTTTTTTTATTTTTATTATGAGACGGTTCTTTGGGAGGAGGAGGACAGGTTGGGAAGTAACATGCTGGGAAATATAAGTGATACAAAAGCAAAAGATATAGATACAAATTTTAATTTAAAAATGTACTGGGAGGGAATAATGTAATGGAAGCCAACAGAAGAGTGAGTTGGCAAGTGGAAGGATGAATTGTCAAGGGGGTGGGAGCAGCAGTGGGAGACCATTGGTACGGCCACATTTTTCAATGTATTGATAGGCTTTGCTGATTTTTTTTTTCTTTTTAAAAATTTACTTTAAGGGATGACTCTTGGAGAGGGGAGGAGAAGGCACACAGGGGAAATCTAGGTTATCTAAAAACAGAAGATATAAATAAAATCTATTTTAAAAACAAAGGATGAATTATTTCTCTAGCAAAGGGGAAGTAGACAGGTGAGAATGTGGCCAGATCATGAGGTACGGAGCAGGGGAGAGAAGAGAGGGAGCTTAGGCCTTTATTGTGTCAGGGAAGTTGGAAGTGAAGTCATGTGCTGGTTAGATTGGGAAGGTTAGGGCTTCGAGAAGGCTGGGGGAGAGAGAGAGAGACAGACAGACAGAGAGAGTGAGTGAGTGTCAGAGTCCATTAGGGGAGAATACCACCAAGAATTCCACCAAAATGAGGGCCAGGTTGAGATGGGATTTGTAGGAGACTCTGTAGGCTTGTGTGATTTCCTCCAGAACTGTGGGTGCTGGGGGCTATGAACAGTGGAAACCCTGACGTGCTGCTCCTTGTGGGCCTGCAGAGGCAGCGGACTGAATGAAGAATTTCTTTCTCTTTCCCATGGTTCTCCCCGCTCCAATCCCACAGGTGGTATGCAGGATTACAACTACATGTGGTCCAACTGTTTCGAGATCACGTTAGAACTGTCCTGTTGCAAGTACCCGCCTGCTTCTCAGCTTCGTCAGGAGTGGGAGAACAACCGGGAATCTCTGATCACGTTCATTGAAAAGGTAAAAACGCACCCTTACCCTCTGATATCCTGATGGAAATAGAGATTTATCCTAAATGGGTAAACACACAGAGGCACCTTTATCAGGCACTTCCGAGGCTTAAAGCTTTAGGTGGATGTAAAGAGGAAAGATTCTAGGAGACTTCCCTAAGCTGGGGAGACCCCAGAGAAGGATGGTGGAGACGGGGAAGGCTCCAAGCTCATGCCATAGGAAGCCTCGTTGATGTTGGCTTGCAAAGGAGAAGCCTTGGGGACTGAGGGCGTGGGGGAAGGGGAATATCACAGCTGATGAAGTATTTAAAGAGCTGTCCTGTGGAAGAGAGAGGAGGCTTGTTCTGCTTGGCCCCAGAAGGCAGAACAGGGAACAGTGAGATGGGCTGATTTCAGCTTTATCACAGGACAACCTTCCAAAGAATTACAGTTCTCTGAAGGGTCTGCGAGCAAATGTTGGAGTGGGAATTCTTGTTCAGTCAGTAAGGGCTTATGAAGCCCTTGTGTCAGGCACTAAGACAGTCCTGTGCTCAAGGAGCCCACCCTCTGATGGGGAGGACAACATGGTGGCAGCTATACACGCACTGCTCTGGGCATTTTCTTTGGCCATCCCATAGGCCTGGGATGCTCTCATCCCTCTGCTCTGACTGCTGACTCAAATCCTGCCTCCTACAGGAAGCCTTACCCAGCCCTTCTCAATTCCAGTGCTTTTCCTCTTTTAATCATTTCCTGTTTATCCTGTCTACAACTTGCTTTCTATATTTTTGTTTGCATGTTGGCTTCTCCATTAGAGTGTAAGCTCCTTGAGGGCAGGGACTATCTTTTGCCTCTTTTTGTATCCCCAGTGCTTGGCGCAGTGCCTGACACATAGTAGGTGTCTAATAAATGTTAAGTGGAAAGGAATCAACAGGGGAGGCGCCTAGAATTACGAAGGTTTGGGAAAGGTTGGATTGTAGCGGGCCGTGGAGGAAGCCAGGGAAGCTGGGAGGTGGAGATGAGGAGGAAGAGCATTCCCGGGAGTGCTCAGGTGTGGGTTGGCTCACCCGGCCTCCTCCAGTTCAGTGGTTCTGTGCATTCAGTTGCACGTTCAGGGCACGTGAAATCTAGCGTACCTAGCACAGAGTCCCCGGCAGTATTTATTCAGCAAACTTTTAACTGACCTTTGGAGGTAATAAGGCTATAATGGCTGCCATAAGAAGAGCAGAATGTCTCTTTTCTTTTTTCATTATTTCCCAGAGAGTTTCCCAGACCTCTTTCCAAGCCCTTTAAAAATGAACGAATTTGCCCCATTTCTCTTCCACATTTTCTGGCGAGGTTGTGGTTTTCTTTGTAAATAGCAAGTCTGACCTTAAGTCTTGTTTGAACTTTTTTGTTGTTACCTCATTTGAAGGACTTGGTCATTCGTGGTGAAATGGGTAATGACTTAATGAATTTGTATTTATTACTGTCTTTTATATTAATGTCATTAATTTTCATTTCCAAATATATTCCTCCTCCCCTCTCCTACCCAGAGAGCCATGAAAGAGGAGGAGAAAAGGAGGGGAAATGCAGTTGTGTAAAAATATCCCAAACACTGGATCCCTCATCAAGAACCGAAAGAGATCCCAGAGACCATCTCATCCCATTCCTTCATTTTACAGATGAGGAAACTGAGGCAAACAGGATTCAGTCACTTGCCCAGGGTCACACAGCTAGTGAGTGTCTGAGGCTGTGTTTGAACTCAGGTCTTCCTGGCTCCAGGCCTGGCACTCTATCTGTTGCACCACATAGGGCCTTTAGATTAGGGTTATTTACAACATTTTCCGCTTGTGTCTTATAGAAAGTCAACAGTTTATACATTATTGGTAGAAAAAAAGGATTTCAGAAAAGCAGACAAACCTGTAGTCTTGCCGTCCAGTTTGATTCAGCAGGCGTTGATTAAGGGCCAGGCGCTATCCTAGGAGCAGAAATGAAACAGCCATGGCTCTTAAGGACCTTGTTGGGGAGTGGGGAGGACGAGGAGGAAATTGGGGTGAAGAGAATGGTCTGTAGCTTGGGTCAGAGGATAGATCTGAACCCTGTTCTTCCTGACTTCCAGGAGGAGACTGTCCACTCTGCCAGATGTCCTTCTGACATAAAAGATTGAAGGCAGGAGGATGTCATTTAAATTTAAAGGATTTGAGACGTGCTTGTGTACGTATTTGCATTTTATTTTAAATGCAGGTATTGACTAGATTTTTGAGGAGACCCTGACTCTGGTGTCTCATTTGAGAAACTTATATCCTTCAGACACTAGCTGTGTGACCCTGGGTGAGTCATTTAACCCCAATTGTCTCCCACCCAAAAAAAAAAAAATTCACACGTGTGTCGATTTGGAGGCAGAAAGGACGTTGGAGATTCTGTACTCCAGCCCTTTCGTTTTTCAGATGAGGAGAACGAAGCCCAGATGTGGGCAGAGCCAGGATCTGAATCTGTACCCTCTGATGCAGCATGTAGGACTCCTTCCTCCCTGGAACCCACACTCAGCAAGCGGCCTACGGATCGGGGAGATCCTCCCCATCAGCTTCCTTGTTCCTTTGTCCTCTCAGGTCCACATTGGAGTTAGAGGGTTTGTGAAAGACTCCACGTCTGGTTCTGGCTTGGAAAATGCAACCATCTCGGTGGCTGGCATCAACCATAATATCACGAGCGGCAGAGGTGGCGATTTCTACAGACTGCTCGTCGCTGGGACTTACAACATCACGGCAGTTTCTGTTGGGTAAGGCAGCCACGCTTTGAGCTGGAAAAGCACCTGTAAGTCGTCGGGCTTCCTGTCCTGTGCCTGCATCGCCAGATGCTTGAGAAAATGTTGGCTGTGTTGGCTGTGTCTGGCCTTCTCATGCCTTAGTGTCTGATTATTCTGCTCCCCTTGTGAGTGAGGTTTTCCTGCCGCCATCTTTTCTCAGCTAGTTGACCATTTAGAAGGGCCTACTAGAATGTTTTCCCTGGCTTTCTTCAGAACATGATTCAGGTGTCACCTCGTAGGTGAGATCTTTCCTGATCCCCCTTCCCCCAGATGTAAGCACTCTGTCCTCCCCTGAAATGAATCAGTATTGGCTTCGGACAGCATCTGTTTTGTGTTTGCTGACTGAGGACGTCCCTGTGTCCCTCCAGTGGAATGTAAGCTTCCTGAGGTCAGGCCCGGTTTGGGTTTTTGTCTTTTTATCTCTAGCACCTGGCACAGGGCTTGGGGACCGTTGTTGGCCACTTTGAATTGAATGGAATTTTAGTGGCAGGCTTACGAGCTAGTGGCACGGGAGGGTGCGGCAGGCTGCTTGGTAGAGCTGCCATCTGCTTTCTCTTATGTGAAATGAAACAGCGCCCACTTTGCTGGAAGGGCTTCTGGAAGCTTCCTTTGGTCAGGATTTTCTTAAAAATCCTTAGTTGCATCTGGAGCTTTCTTCTCCTTGGTAACAGCATTGGAACTGGCAGTGTGATGAAGAGACAGCAAAGAATCGGCAGAGTGTCCTGGCGTCCTAAACACATGGTTTAGGAAGGGAAGAAGGAAGGAGGGAAGAAAGCAGAGATTGGAGGGGGAGAAGGAAGGAAAGAACACGTTAAGCTCCTTCCAACTATGTGCCAGGCACTGTGCTAAGTGCGTTACCTGTATTGTCCCATTTGATCCTCACAACGAACCTGGGAGGGAGATGCTGTAATTATCCCCATTTTACAGTTGAGGAAACTGAGGCAGATAGCTAGTGTCTGAGGCTGGATTTGAACTCGGGTCTTCGTGACTCCAGGCCCAATGCTCTATCCACTAGACCACCAGCTGCCTCTGGGCAATACCCAGATTGGTCCAGGGAGCTGCAGAATTTGAAGAACTCATAATAAAATGTAAGCTTCTGGGGGCAGGAAGTGTTTCATGCTCGTCTTTGTGTTTTTAGCACCTGGCACGTAGTAGGTGTTTAATGGCATCTGGAATCAACAAGCGTTGATTAAACTCTTCATATCAAACAATCATGGCTCTAGAGCGGGAAGGGATTGAGGCCCACGGAGGTGGTGGTGGGGGGTGGGGTTTGTCCAAAGTCACATGAAGTGTCAGAGGCGAGATCTGAACCCTGGCCCTCAGGCTCCAGTGCCACCCTCTTTCCACGTTGCCATGCTCCTTGGCAGGCATGATGCTAGGTACTAGAGATACAATGAAGATGGTGCCTGCCCTCAGGGTGCTTACATCCTGAGATTCTCTGGTCTTTGCCATCTTTTCTATTGGAAAGGACTCCCGTGGTCGCCTTGTGCCCAGATGTTAAAAGCAGAATCTCAAGCCCTTTGGTCCGAAAAGACCATGTGCTTTTCTAGCCTCTGGAATAAGAATCAGAAGTGGGGGGACCCAGCCTCTAGACCGGGGACTCTTACCCTTTGTTGTGTCCTGGGCCCCTTTGGAGAAAGGCCAGGGAAGCTCCTGGACTCCTTTTTAAAATAATGTTTTTAAAAGCGTAAATAAAATACATAGGATTGCAAAGGAAGACAATTAGATTGAAATGCAGTTCTCAAGACATTTAAAAAAAATGTTCACAGGCCCCAGAAGGTCCCCTGCTCTAGAAGCAAGGGTGTGTCACCTGCTGACTGAAGTGCCCTCATCCGTGTTTTCCCATGTCCCCACAGGTACATGCCGATGACAGTCAGTAACATAGTGGTGCAAGAAGGTTCGGCCACGGAGGTGAACTTCCTGCTCCGGCCCACGGTGATCCTCTCTGTGGAGCCGCAGACGGCGGTGCCCAGTGTGGCCCCCGTCGGAGACGCCCCTGAGACTCCCGCCTCCCCCCAGCCAGTCCAGCCCCAGGACTTTCACCACCACCATTTCCCCGACATGGAGATTTTCTTGAGGAGGTTTGCCAACGAGTACCCCAACATCACCCGTCTGTATTCATTGGGGAAATCTGTCGAGTCAAGAGAGCTTTACGTGATGGAGATATCAGATAATCCAGGTGTCCATGAACCAGGTAGTAAGAGGCTTGGCTTTGGAAATCGTGGGTCTTGCAAGCTGGAGCCCGAGGCACTCATTTTTACAGATGGGGGAAATCAAGGCGCACCGAGGTTAAATGACTTAAAGGACCCTAGATCTAGAGCTGGGAGGGACCTTAGAGGCTGCTTAGTCCAATGCCCTTATTTCACAGATAGGGAAACTGAGGCGCACGGTGGTTAATATCAGTAACCCAAGATCACAGACAGTGAATGCCGGAGGCAGGATTTGAACCCAGCTTCTCTGACCTCCACAGGCATTATTGTTTCCACCGTGCTACTCGGTCTTTGAAAAAGAGCCCCCCCAAAACCAGTGGCGGTGTGTTGCATTGACTGGTCCATAAAGATCTCCTGATGTTCTGTATACCACATGAGAGACAGGGCCAGGAAGGCCAAGGTTCAAGTTTCACGGCTGACATATCCTGGCTCTGTGGCCCTGGACAAGTCACTTCATCCCTTTAGTGCCCCAGACAATTCTCCTCGACTGTAAGCAACAGGAAAAGTGCTGACCTCCATTGTTAGAGGGAGTCCTTACTGAGAGCTCCATGCGAAGGTGGAAGCGTAGGTCTGGTCCCTAAAAAAGTGTGTGTATGTATGTATGTTTATCTCTACCTCTCTCTATATCTATAGATCTATCTCTGTTTGCCTCTGTCTCTGTCTACATATTTTGTTTGTCCCTGTCTGTTGATATCTGTGTCTTTCTCCCTATTTCACTATGTTGGTATTGTTAATGTATACATGTGTGTATCTCATCCTTATGATACATGTGCTCTAGTCCATATGCTGCATGCCTCCAGTGTTCAGTTATGAGGACATATGTTCTGTGTGTACATACCCATAACTTCACACTGGTGATGTAGCACATTAAACACTCAGTGTGTGTTATTAAGTGGCTTCCCTCCAGGCCAAAAAGTGGCTGCTTTCTCTTTACTCCAGTTACGTAGCTGCTGTCTACATAGCTGCCTGTGTTATATTTATGTCTGTGTAGAATGTCTTCAGTTATGTCCGTTTTACACACACACACACACACACACACACACACACACACGTACACGTAACTGAAGCAGAGAAAAGGGACACAGGCATTTTTTTGACTGGAGAGAAGAAAAGCCCCTTCATGCTCATGGGGAGTATAATGTCGTATGCCACATGTCTGTAGTGGGAAATAAAATTTTTATGGCTAAATGTTAGTATTTTTGTTCCATGTGAGGTTTCTGGTGAGGTTGCTTTCCATGTCTTACAGAAAGGCTGTTTTACAGGGAGATGAATACTTCTTTTTCTTGGTAAAGGATAAAAAACATAGCTTCCTGTTAAATTATTACTTTGCCACTCCTCCTCACCATCCCATCCCTCCTCCCCAAGGGTGAATGTGTTTTTGGAGAATAATACTGTTAATTTTTTTTTTTAACGTTTAGGATGACCCATGAGCGTGGGACATCTTTAATCCTCAAGGACCAGTGAAAACAGATTCATGTGTTAATGTTGCATTTTTGGTGTCCAGGTGAACCAGAATTTAAATACATTGGGAACATGCATGGGAATGAAGTCGTGGGCCGGGAGCTGCTGCTGAACCTCATAGAATTCCTCTGCAAGAACTTTGGGACAGACCCGGAGGTGACCGAGCTGGTCCGTAACACCCGGATCCACCTGATGCCCTCCATGAACCCCGACGGCTACGAGAAGTCTCTGGAAGGTAATGGGGATATGAGAGAGAGAGAGAGAGAGAGAGAGAGAGTGAGAGAGAGAGAGAGAGAGAGAGTGTGTGTGTGTGTGTGTGTGTGTGTGTGTGTGTGTGTGTGTGTGTGTGTGTGTGTGTGTGTGTGTGTGTGTGTGTGTGTGTGTGTGTGTAGTGGCCATCCCTTGTGTTCCTGCCTGTTTCATCCTTCCTAGCAGCCATTGACCTTATGCTTCGGGGGAGCAGACTTTTTTCCATCCAGTTAATGGGTCGTTCATCTGATGGTTGCCTCTAAATGGTCTTTCCCACTCTGCTGATGCTTGCTCAGAGCCATCCCCGAGGATGTGTTTCTCCCAAAATCTTTTGAACCTGCTCATCTTTCCTGCTACACACACACGCACGCACACATATATACACACATACCTATATGCATGCATATACATATGTACATACACAGATACATACACGTATGTGTGTGTATATATACTAACATATATTTTTCCCTTTTCCCTTTTAACTGTAGCTCCTCATTACAGTGTTGTGGTTACTATATAAATTGTTCACCAGGTTGCGCTCCCTCCACTCACCATCAGGTCAGATGGATCTTCCCAGATTTCTCTGAAGCTACGCCTTTCTTTGTTTCTCATGGTGCAATAATATTCCATTACGTGTATTTCTATAATTGGTTCAGCCATTCCCCAATTGGCAGGCGCCTCTTTGGTTTCCAGTTCTTTGCTGCCACAAAAAAGAGCCACTATGCATGTGTTTGTCCACATGGGTGCCCTTACCCTCTTTCTCTGATCTCTTTGGGGGATGGACCTAATCTAACTAGAGCTCCTTCCAGACTGCCTTAGAGCGTGTAGGTTGAGAATAGTTTGTCCCAAATCGTCATCAGAATGATGAGATGTCTTCTCCAGCCAGTGATTGTGTGGCTATGGCAGTCTGTTTGGATTATTTGTAATTAAGCAATAGTTTATTATAACTTGTATAACTGGATTTCTTTGCTCTTTAAAATGCATATCAAGAAGATGGGATCATTGGATCGTAGATTTAATGCTGGAAAGGACCTTAGAGGCCAGCTGGCCTACAGACATGCTGCTGGGGAGTGTCTGAGGCTAGATTTGAACTTGGGTCTTTTTGCCTTCTGTCCCCTCTGCCCCAGTTCCTCTCTGAGTGTGAAAGGGGCTTGGGAGAGCAGTCAGTCAGTCTAATTCAGGCAATGTGCTCGTTACCTAGAGTACAGTACCCCTTGGCATCAAGCAGAGTGTTGACATGGGGGGCTAGATCATCACCGAAGACATGTTCCCCAATCGTGGAAGATACGTTGGGGTGTTCTTCAGATGCCCTTGTCTGTGGATGGCACTGATCTGCAGATAGTGCAAAAGCAGTTCATCTAGGGGTCCCCAGAAACCCGTGGTGCACTGAAATAGGCCTGGCTTCCAAGTCTGCGGACATTGGTCTAAAGCCTGCATCGGCTCTGTCCTCGATGTCCTCAGGCACGTCCCTTTTGCACCCTCTCAGCTTCCTCATTCATAAAATTTGGGGGCTTGGCTGCATGGCGTCTTAGATCCCCTTCAGCTCTAAATCTTTGATCTGTGGAGTCAGGAGAGACTTGGGATTGAATCCCATCACAGCCACGTAGTGACCTGACTTTGGCTTCCTCATCTCCCGCGTGGGGAATTTGGTCATTCTAGTATATGCCTCATAAAGTCGCGAATAAGGATCAGGTGAGCTAATGTGCATGAAAGTGCTTTTGTAATCCGTAAAACACTCAGCAAAGGTCAGCTGCAATTATTATTTACTCTAGAAAAGCCAAATGAGTGACAGACAGTATTGTTCAGACTATGCCACGGCTCTGTGGGTAGGTGTATCTTGGACAGGTGCTGCAGATAGATGCTGACCTGGGCCAAGAATTGAGCAGGAGGAAAGAATCAAGGGTAGCAAACAGGTAGAGAAGAATGGAGGAGGCAGTGAGGGTCTGGCGAGATCACATTTGGGAAATTAATTACATGAGGTTAAAAACGTTTCTTTGATTAGTATGTCTTTTGTTTTTGTATACATTTCAATTTCCGATTTCCGTCCTCTTGCCCTCACCCCAGAGCCAGCCCTTCTGATAGTGAGCACTGTGTGTTTTAACTCCGCTGTGAGTTACAGTCCTAATCAGTCCCAACCCTGGCTTTGTCGCCCCTTAGGAGACTCCACGGGCGTGGTTGGCCGAAACAACAGCAACAACTTTGATCTGAACCGGAATTTTCCAGACCAGTTCTTCCAGGTCACAGACCCCGTGCAGCCCGAGACCACGGCCGTCATGAGCTGGCTGAAAACCTACCCGTTTGTGCTGTCCGCCAACCTGCATGGAGGTATGGTCAGTGGGTGGGAAGGGCTGTGATGCTGGGAAGGGGTGCCCCCCAACCCTCCCCACCCTCACCCCGGGGCTTCTAGCTTGGCCTCATCTCGAGTGGGGCCTTTCATTTTTTCTTTTCTTGAATCTAAAGTATCCAGATATTGCTGCCATGATTGTGGCAGACAGATGGTACCTGCATTTTCCTGTTTTTTTAAATGAGTCAAGGCTATGGTCTTGTCAGTTTCTTCCTCCAGATCTTTTGTATGTTTATCGTATGGGGGGGTCACTATTTGTGTCTGCCCCCCACAGCCAATCATCATTCAGCTCCATTGCCAGATGAGGCTTACAGCTTTGGAGCTGGTGGGACCTCTAATTGGACATCTAGTCCGACCCCATCGTTTGACAGAGAAGGAAACTGAAGCCCAGCAAGTTGAAGTGATTTGCTGAGGGTCCGATGGGTAGTAAGCATCTGAGGTGGGATTTGAATCCAGATCCTTTCTGTCCCATGGCACATGTCTCTTTTCTGCTGCTGGGTCATCAGTCTGTGTGGACCCTCCTATTCACCTTGGCATATGCCATAGTACCTGGCTCAGGACTTTGCGTGTAGTAAACGTCAAGGCAATATTTGTTGAAGAAATAGATAAAGCATTTATTGCACATTTAGCCATCGCTAGAGTTATCAATTCAAGGAAACCAGACAATCCTGCCTTCAAGGTGTTTACATTCTGATAGTGGAACACAGCATTTGAAGGGCAGCTGGAAAGTGGGTGGGTGGGAGGAAAAGAAAGGAGGCTGGCTGTCTGGGAATAAGTGTGGGGCTGTCCAAGGGATTGACCAGTCGGATGAACTGGCATTAGGGGAGAGGTATCTGCAGGGTAACAGAGCTGCTGGCAAGATGGCGGAGAGATCATAAGAAATCTTCGACCTGGACCTGACAGGGACCGCAGAGGCCATCCATTCCTCCCACATTTTACAAATGAGGAGGCTTAGGATGAGGGTTGTCATAGGAGCAGAAATCTAGAGCTCAGAAGCCATCCAGTCTAACCATCCCATTTTACAGATAGGAAAATTGAGGACCTCAGAGGTGGAAGCTCCATGCCCAGAGTCTTAAAGGTAGCAGGCATCAGAGATGGAATTTGAACCCAGAGCTTTTTGTACAGATTTGATCGTCACCCTCTTGTTCTCTAGACCTTTTACTGGTTAGCCCCCCCACTTCCCCCCTGCTCAGTTGTAAATTCCACTAGGGCAGGGCTTCTGTTTTAATCATGGCAGTGTCAACATGTCCTTACCCCAGTTTCTTGCCTCTCTCCTCCCCTGTTCAATTGAACAAGGTGAAAAGATTCCCAAATTTAGAGTCATGGGACATGGTTTCAAATGCTACCTTTGTCACTCGAGGTCTGTTAGTTACCTTGGGCAAGTCACTTGTAAAAAAGTGGACCTTTGTGAAAAGGAAGGGATTGGATTAGATGACCTCTAAGATCTCTTCCTGTTCTGGAACTGGGATCCCGTGGTTTCATCACAGCCGTCCTTTTTTAAATCTAAGCAGAATTCTTCAACTTAATGTTAAGTAGCAGTCTGTGTGTGTATGCATGTATATAAAATAGTATTGTTAAGCAATATTATTATATGTTCTTAAGCAGCGTTCTTCAGCTTAAGCAAAATTATTATTATTAGCATTATATATGTATATGTTATGTGTATTATAATTAGTATTGGTATATTATTAATCAGTATTCTTCAGCTTACTATTAAATAGTAGTGTTAGTAGTATATATATATGTTATCTTATTAAGCAGTGTTATATTATTAGTGTTATATTATTATTAAGCAGCATTCTTCAACTTATTATGCAGTATCATTATTATTGTCATTACATTAGTATTACATATTAATGTATATTATTAAGCAGTATTGTCATATTAGTATATGTTGTTAGTATTGTTATATTATTATTAAGCAGTATTCTTTGGCTTATTAAGCAGTATTATTTTAGTATATATTATGTATATCATGTTATTATTAAGCAGCATTCTTCATCTTATTAAGAAATATTGTCATTATTATAATATTAATATTATATATTAGTATGTATTGTTATGGTAGTATATCATTTGTATTATTAAGTGGTATTCTTAAGTTTATTATTAAGTAGTAGCATTATTAGTAGCTATATATATTATTGTTGAGTAATATATTAGTATATATTAAGTATCATTCTTCATCTTATTAAGCAGCAGCATCATATTACTATATGTTATATAGTATTTGTATTATTATTACAATCAGCTCTCAACTTCTGCGAGGGTGATGTTCCTAGAAAGTGATGCAAAAGTTAAAAACGTGAATGTTGATACATTAAGCTTGTGGGAAATAAGGATTACGTTCTTGTGACCACCAAAAGCTATAATCTTTCACTAGAGATCACTGAAAATAAACTTTTCTGCATACAGTTCTTTATAGCAGAATATTAATTCTGATAATATGCACTTTTCCCAACACAGTAACTGTGAAATAACCTATAAGATATAGTACGCAAAATAAAATTGGTAACATGCAAAACATTTTTTCTCTCTAGTAATTCCCTAGAATTCTGTGACTTTTTGTGCCAACATCGTATGGGAAAAAGAAAAGCCAACACTGATCAGACAATATTCACTTTTCATAACACATGAAGTCTGCGATGCCATAAATGCTCTCCTTCTTTTTGTGGGTATGACGAATCGTTGATCTGTTACCAGACTTGCTGCCGGCAGCTGCTGCAGGTGTTCTCACGTGAAGTTTATCCAACACCTTTATTTGTCCACTCAGCCACACTTTGTACTCTTGGGCTCAGAGCCCAAAGGATTTGTACTGCACTTTGGGGGCACAGTCGCAGCACAAAGCATGAGTTTTAAAGGCAAACAATGAAAATATTCAGCAAGGGCACAGGGCACTCTTCACAGTGGTAGGAAGAACAAGGCCAGTGAAGCACCTCGTAGAATGCCAGCCTGTCCACACACTGGCATGTGGCAGTTCTTGTTTTTTTTTTTTCTAAAACTGTGCATAATGGTGAACAAAAGTGAAAATGAGTCTGCTAATCAAATCGCACAAATGCTTGAAGTCGGGAAAGTTAAAGGTGTGAAAGTTGAAGATTGATCATATATTGTTATGATTAAGCAGCATTCTTAAGGTTATTATTAAGCAATATTATCATCATTATATTAGTACATATTATATTATTAAGCAGTATTACTATATGTTATATTATTACTAAGCAGTATTCTTAAGCCTATTATTAAATAGCATTTTTCATTATCATTATTATATTAAATAGTATTATTATATTGATATCTATTTGTTATTAGTATTATTATATTATTAAGCACTATTCTTAGGCTTATTAAGGAGTATTATGATTATTATTACATGTTAGTATATATTACCTTATAAGTAGCATTGTCATATATATTATGTTATTATCGAGCAGTATTCTTAGCCTTATTCTTAAGCAGTATTATTATATTAGTATATGTTATACTATCAAGTAATATTATTATATTAGCCTATGTTATATCATTATTAGTATGTGTTATGTCATTAAGCAGAATTCTTAAGCTTATTAAGCAGTATCATCATCATAATTATTAGTATAATATGTTAGTAAATAGTAGTATATGTTATATATTATTAGTGTATTATTATTGTTGTTAATCAGCTTTATTCTCCTAAGCTTATTCTTAAATCTAAGCAGTCCTCCCTGGCCCCACAGCTAGGACACAGTGCGATTGGAGGAGGAGGAAGCTTTCAAAATAAGTTGGTCAGTAGAAGGCTGGCCATCAGCTGTCTGGAGGAGGGAAGATTGATTAGGACAAGATCTGACCTGTTAGGCCCAGGAGACTTAGAAACGGGCAGACTTTGGTGTGTCCCTCAGGGAGCAGTCAGAATGTTGACATGAGCACGTTTTACATAGCTAAACTTGTCTAAGGCCTGAGAATTGCTGCAGGTCACGAAAATCCTGGGCAGCCGGTGAGGGAGAAATCCCAGAGCTCCTACTATGGAGATGCAGTTTCTCGGGTAGCTTTTAGGAGACCCTCTGTGTACAGGTGAATGAATGGAAAAGCCATCCATTGAACACTTCACTGGGTGTCAGGCACTATGCTGCGGACCCTGACGTTTTCAAGGAGAGACAGTCCCTGCGCTGAGCTTAGATTCTAGACGGGGAAGGTGCCATGTTGAGGGGGAGAGCTGCCCATGAAAGGAAGTTGTGTCCTGTAGAGGGGGCGAGCTGGGGTGGGGACAGGAGGGGTGGCAGGTGCGCTAAAGCAGTGGGTTTAAGACCATCAAGTCCTTCCAGGAGCTGTGGAGGGAGCACGCCTTCCTTAGCGAGGCCCTGTGGGCTTCTGCTCGGTCTGGAGGACAGCACCACCCTCCTTCCAATACGGATAGTGAGCCCTTCCAGCTGACTTCTTGTTGTTGCGGGTGCATGTCTCACACCCTGATCCTTTTGCTGATGCCATCTAGCATTTATTAAGGGCCTGTGTGCCGGGCACCGTGGTAATCCAGGTTAAAGCTTTGCTCCAATCCTTCCTGTGTGTGCTGGCTCATGGCATGTATTCATTACCTTGACCTTCCTAAGTCCAGCAAGTCTGGAAGTGCCACCTCTAGGCGTCCCGCTCCTCTGACGTCCTGGAATGACCTGTCTGAAGAAAGGTGGCACATAGCCTCAGCAGGATCTCCGCTGTGGCCTTTTGAGGTCTTCTGATAGGAGGGAGCTCCTTTCTGCACCGGTGGGGAATGGTCAGTCATGCATCAAATCAAGGCCATTCATTTTTTGGTGTTCCCTGTAGGTTCTTTGGTTGTGAACTACCCATATGATGATGATGAAGAAGGAGTTACCTCCTACAGCAGATCTCCAGATGATGCTGTGTTCCAGCATCTGGCCCTTTCTTATTCCAAGGTAGGCTTCCATCGAAAGAGAAGAGGTGCTATAGAATTTAATTCCCGAATTTTAAAAGTTGTGTCCTTTGTTTTAAAAAGACATAGGATCATAGATGTAGAGAGGGAAGGGATCTCAGAGGCCATCTTTACCAGATGAGGAAACTGAGTCTCAGAGGAGATGACTTTTGAGGTCACACAGGGAATAAGGAGTAGCACCAGGATTTGAACTCATGAAATCTGACTCCAAATTCAGTGTTTCCTTCCCCCCCCCCCCAACTGTACTCTGCTGCCTCTGGGTAGATTATAAGAAATGCCGAGCCAAGAGCTCTTTTCCACATATCACAAGATGTGCTAATCAGATGTTTTTGGTTTCTTCCAGGAAAATTCTGAGATGTATCAGGGCAACTCCTGCAAGGACATGTATCCTGATGAGCATTTTTCCCACGGCATAACCAATGGAGCCAACTGGTACAGTGTCCCAGGTATAGCCCTCTCTAATAATCATCATAATAAATAATAATTATTAATAGCTGACACTTACATAGAGCTTTTTATAGTTTGCAAAGCCCTTTACATATATTATCTCAGTTGACCTTCTCAACAACCCTGTGTAGTAGATGCTAATCTCATCTGCGTTTTATATAATTGGATTCATGATAACAGTTGACATTGATGGTTTGTGTCCCCTAAGGATGTGATCCCTATTAAGGATGCCCTGGAGCTGCTGGGATGGAGGGGCAGTCGCTTTCCTTCTTCAGGGTTGTAGGTTCTAATGTTTCTGACTCTCTTCCCCAGGCGGGATGCAAGACTGGAACTATCTCAACACAAATTGCTTTGAAGTGACTATCGAATTAAGTTGTATAAAATACCCCTACGAGAAGGACTTGCCCAGGTATTGGGAACAGAATCGCAGGTCTCTGATCCAGTTCATGAAGCAGGTGCGTTTAAGAGCCTGAAGGGTGAAATTCACCTGCAAGTGTGATGCTTGGCTGTTTTATGGAGGGTTTTTAACAATGTTCCTTCCTTATTATGAAAATGAGCCTAAGTTATAACTTACTCTCTCATTGACCAAAACAGTTTTCTTTTAGTTTCAGTTTAATTCAGAGCATATTTATTAAGCTCCTTCTATATTCAAGGCACTGTGCCACACTCTGAGTACAAAAACGAAAAACCAAAAAACATTCCCTGCCTTCAGGGAGCTTATGTTCAACTTACATTCTTACATTTGGCCCTCTGGTGGTAGGGACTGTTTTAAAAGTTTTTAAAAGTTCAGGATGATGGTGGCAATAATGATTAAGATAAAGCTGTCATTTGCAATAATCATTATGAACAAACACATTCTCCCCCCAGGTAGCTGACAAAAAGTGTAAAAACATTTCCAGGTCTGCACACAATAGCCATTGCCATTGCCATGGTAAGAACCATCAGAGGAAAGATGGAGTTACCATGGGACACCCCTAGTGACCGGTGTCAGGCACCACCCTGGCAGAATGGACTTGAGGGGAGGGTCTGAGGAAAGACTTGGGAAAAATACAGCAATATCTAGCCAGTGGGTGTGGGCCTCGGTAGAAAACTGAAGTACCCTGGTGTCCAGTCAAAGGCAGCAGCAGCAAAAAGGGCCTGCGTGGAGGAGAATGGAGAAATGGAGAATGCAATTCTAGATTCCTTTAAACAGCAGGCAAAGGTTAAGGCACCAGAGGGAGTCCAAGCAGTGCTAAGAACAGCCAGAAACTTCGCTTCAGAGGCTTGAGAACCCTGCCCCCAAAAAATGCAGAGGAGAGAACCTCAGAAGGGAAAAGATAGGGAAGGTTTCTTAATGAATGCAGCAAGTACGATACAGTGAAAATAGATACGGGATCGGATGAGAAACAGAAAGTTTGCATATTGTTTAATGAATGACAGAATGGTTAGGTCAAAGGTGATTAGACCACAGCTTCTCTGAGAATCCTGGAAAGCAGGGGAGCCCATGAAGCTCCATCATCATTGGCTCTAGAAGGGCCTGCTGGTTCTAACTGGTGGGCTCTGTGCAGGTCCATCGCGGCATCAGAGGATTTGTACTGGACGCCACAGATGGACGCGGCATCTTAAACGCCACCATCAGTGTGGCTGACATCAACCATCCCGTCACCTCTTACAAAAGTGGGGATTACTGGCGCCTCTTGGTTCCTGGAACTTACAAAATCACAGCTTCAGCCCGAGGGTGAGTGAGGGGCTGGACGATGGGAAAATGGGGGGGGGTCAGTTGATTGACAAGAATTTATAAAGTGCCTACTGTGTGCCAGGCACTGTGTTGGGCTCTGGGAATACAGAGGAGTCCCTGCCTGCCCTTCTGATTGGCAGACAGCATGTATATATATATGTATGTGTGTATGTGCATGTATGTATTATATATGTATGTGCATATGTGTGTATATTCACAATGCTGTATACTGAGTTTTGGGGGCTACCCTATATGGATATGTGTTTATATATACACACACACGTATTCTGTCCAATTCTGTGTGGGTACCTTGTATGAATGTGTATTTGCATGTGTGTGTGTATGTGTGTGTGTGTGTGTGTGTAGGTGTGTGTCTGTGTATATACACATATGTGCTGTCCATCACATTAGAAGGTCAAGCCCTAGAGGGCAGGGGCTCTTTTAGTTTTGTCTTTGTATCCCCAGCTTTAATAAGCTTTAATAGCTTAAAACTGCCCTAAGACTTGGGAAACATCTTGTGTATGCAAAATATATACCCGATAAAGAAAAGGTAATGGGGAGAGGAGGGCCCCAGGAGCTGGGGGGCAAAGGGATCAGGAAGGGCCTCATGTTGAAGGCAGCATTTGAACTGAGCTTTGAGGGGATCTGGGGATTCTTGAGAGATGGGAAATGAAGAGAGATTGCGTTCCAGGCATGAGACACAGAGGTGGGTCAGAATGATTAGCTTCCTTAACCTCCCTTAATGAGGGAGGCTGCAGAGAGCTCTTTCTGTTGGAGTCCTAGGAAGGAAGCAACCATACTGTGGGCTTGACTCCCCTCTAGTGGCAAAGGGAGTACAATGCTTTTATTATTTTTTTGTTTAAAAGTTATTTTATTTTTTAATGCATTATTTATTTATTTTAGCATTCATTTTAAATGAATAAATAATAATAAATAATAATGTATATTAAAGGTATTAATAATGAATAAATAGTAATGTTATTAATAAATGTAATATTAAATCATATTTTAATAATGATTAAATTAAATGATAAATTGATAAACTTTAATAAATGCTGGAAAAGCTCTTCCAGCTGACTATTTTCCCTGTGGCTGCCCCCCTTTTCCTGACCATACCTTACCCTTGTTGGTTTTTTTTTCAATATTTTAATGTCTGTTGATACCTTTTGTCTTGGTATCACCAGTTTCTGACTCCTCTCCTCCCCAGCCAACCCAAGTAACAAAGCATTACAAAGAGAAAGTTCATAAAACTAGCCAACCCGTCAGCGAGGACTCACAGAATATGGGGTGGTGCACACCCAGAGGCCCCTATCTCTGCGAAGAAGGGAGGAAGATGCATTTTCTCTGCTCTGTGATTTGGTAGAGCTTATTATCATATTAGAATCACATCGTGCTCAGTTTCATTTCCTTTCCTTCTTTCAGTCTCACCCTCTCCCTTAGACGTGGAAGCCTCTTGACCATCTTCTAGTGTTTTGTGCGTTAATCTTTACTGCTTATGGGCAAAGAACTTAGATGAGGTAGGGGCGGGCGAGGGGAGCATTGAGAGATGGTCTGAAAGATGTGTTATTGAAATTCATCAACATTAAATGTGACATTACTAAAGAAAGTTCAGTAAATTGGATTAATGCTTGGTGTTGTATCTAGTAAAATAAAGTAGTCATTGAGAGCTGGCCTCAAGGCCAGGAAGACCGGGGTTCTAGTCTCACCTCTGACGCATCCTGTCTGTGTGATGCCATCCGCTCTCATTGCTCCCTCTAAGTCCTTTGAGAAGGTGCTGACCTGCATTGGTAGAAGGAATCTCCTCTCCTGGGAGTTCCCTTTGACCCAGTAACACCATAGATGCAGTCTCATCTCTTAGCATTCCTTCTGGTTGGAGAGGAGGTCTACATTAGGAAATGTGGATGACATCCAAATAGAAGACAGGGCTACCATTTTATTTCATTCCCCCTTTGTAAAAATCTTTTTCTCCACCATTGGTCATAGGTACAACCCCATCACAAAGAACGTGACCGTGAAGGATGAAGGGGCGGTCCAGGTTAATTTCACACTCGTGCGATCCTCGTCAGATTCCAGGAATAAGTCCAAGATGAAGGAGATCATGGCGGACAGTGGCACGAGCGACCCGACAACCAAGGAATTTGAGACCTTAATCAAAGACCTCTCCGCTGAGAATGGCCTGGAGCGCCTCATGCTCAGCTCTTCTCCCAATCTGGCCCTGTATCGCTACCACTCCTACAAGGACCTGTCAGAGTTCCTGCGGGGACTCGTCATGAACTATCCCCACATCACCAATCTCACCAAGTGAGGAGCTCCTTGCAGTTGGCTTTTCAGTCCCCTTGGGAACTTGCCCCAGAATGTCCTCCTCAAGCTGACTAGAACGGTGCTTGGTGGTTCTTTCAGCGATGCTCTCCAAGTACTTACTAAGCACCTACTGTGTGGAGAGAGACAGAGAGAGAGAAGACCTTGGAGTCAGGAAGACCTGGGTTCTAACAGAAACTGGGCAGATCTTTTCCCCCCCTTGAACCTCAATTTCCTCATGTATAAGATGAGAAGAATAGTATCTGAAGTGAGAAGGAGCGTGATGCAGCCCAGTGGTTCTTAAAATATGGCCCAGGGAGTCCCCAAGAGCCTTTTGAGGGTCCATGAGCTCACAACTGTTTTCTAAATAATAACAATAAGATGTTTTAATTTCTGTGATATAGGTATCAATAGATATAATCCTCAATAATTTTTAAGAATGTAAAGAGGTATTTCTCACCTTCTCAGTGGATGAAGGAGAAACTGGAGGGAGGGAAGGAATTAGAAACTCAAATTAAAAATAAATAATAAATGTATTGAAGCAGGGCAAGGGAGAATGTAACGAGCTCCTGACACCAGTGTGTTGAAGAACTCCTGGTATAGTAGATAGCAGCCTGACTTCAGACCTGGGAAATCCTGGTTAATGTCTTTTGGACAAGTTGCCGTGTCTTGGTGTCCCATTAGGATGCTGATCTGCACTGTGAGAGATACTTTCCTCATAGCTCGCCATACTAGGGAAGCCTGGGCACCATAGATGGTGCCAGAGAGAACAAGACAGAAACGAAGCAGTCCCTGCCCTCAGAGGGCTTCCATTCTCTTTGGCTCATTTCTATACTGTCAGACAGCTTCTTGCTAGGGTGGTAGAGGTAGGGGGTTCCTTTTGGGGGGGGCATCTGCTGATGGAATATCACGATCCTGAGTGAATTTCAGAAGGCTTTCCTTTTTGACTTTTGTTGAAAGTAATTAGTCTAAGTAATGCACATGATTGACTTTTTTTTCTTCTGGCTTTTAAAAGTTTGGGTCAGAGTGCTGAATTTCGTCAGATCTGGTCCCTTGAAATCTCCAATAAGCCTAACATGTCTGAGCCTGAGGAGCCCAAGATTCGCTTCGTAGCCGGGATCCATGGGAACGCCCCCGTCGGCACAGAGCTGCTCCTGGCCCTGGCGGAATTCCTCTGCCTGAACTACAAGAGGAACCCAGCTGTTACCAAAGTAAGATGTGGGCTTTCTTCAGTTTCCCTGCCCTTCTCTGGGCCTCAGTTTCCTTATCTGTAAAAAGTAAGGGGTTGGGTCAGATGGTCTCCAAGGTTCCTTCTAGTTCTAGAAGTAGGATTTTAAAGTCACTTAACTGCTCTAGGCCTCAGTTTCACCATCTGTAAAATAAGGGGTTGGTCGAGGTGGCCTCTGGGGTTTAAGCCAGTGATCAGGAGATGTCAAGGCACCGGTTTTCACATCTTGTAAATGTCATTGTTTGAACATGTGATAATTTTAGTCTTTGGAAGGATGCTACCCAGTATTTTAAATACATTTTACAAATTTAATATTATCAGTTTATGGGGAAATTTTTAAAATAAATTTATTATGTATAAATTGTGATATTTAATAAACTTTAAATATTTTAAATCTTAGTGTGGTTTTCAGCTTTAACAGCTTTCCTCACCCAAGCTATGATGCCAAAAATCTCACTAAGACTTTTGGGACACACAGTGTAGACCCTGGCTTTCTAACTCATCCTACAGTGTAGAAGTGATGAGAAGCGTAGGCATCGTGCTAAGTCCTGAGGCTGTGAAGACAAAAGTAAAAAGAGCCCCCTTCCCCGCACATGGACATATGTACAGAATAACCACAGGATCAGAGATTTAGAGTTGGGAAGGGCATTTTGGGCCCTGCCTTATTTTACAGATGGGGAAACTGAGGTCCAGAGGGAGTAAGTGATTTGTGCAAGGTCACACAGCGGTAAACATCAGAGGCAGGTTTTGAACTCAGGTCCTCTGACTTGAGAGCCAGGGCAAGAATCACAAAAATCCTTCTTGAAACCAGGAGAAATCGCTAGAGCCCTCTTTTCCAGGGGAAGGGAGAGGGTGGGGGGGGGAGTGGGGGAGAGGGGTGCATGTGTGTACTGGCCACAAGGAGAACTAACAGACTCCCTGTGTTTGTTTGTGTTTTAGTTGATTGACAGGACTAGAATTGTGATTGTGCCTTCTCTAAATCCAGATGGGCGGGAGAGAGCGCAAGAGAAGGCCTGCACCTCGCTGACGGGGCGCACCAACGCGCACGGCAGAGACCTGGACACAGACTTCACAAGTGAGCATGGACGTTGGCTGGCGGGGTGGGGAGGAGCTTCCTGGGCACTGGTGGCCCACACTCTTGTCTTCCTGAGAAGGCAGTTAGGGTTGAATAATAACGATAAGCAGTAATGTGGCTGGCTCATGTAGCGCTTTAAAGTTGTGAATATCTGAATATATCGCCTCATTTGAGGTGCTGCAGGGAGTATTATTCTCACTTTACAGATGGGGCAACTGAGGCTTTGAGAGGTTCCTAAGATGTCATTTAGTGATGGGAGGGACCTTTAGAGTCATGCTAGATTCTGATTCAGCTGTCTTGTTTTAATATTCCTGGAAGCTGAAACCCAGATAGGTGGAGTGAATTGCCTGAGGACACAAAGGCAGAGTCAGGATTTGAACCCAGATCTTCTGACACCATTTTGAAAAAATTAATCTTTTTTTCTAATGAAAACCCACTTTCTCTCCCTCCTACATCCACTCATCTCCCATTGAGAAAGCAAGAAAGCCAAAGTCCTCCATGTGTGATCAAGCAAATCCAGTGATCAGGCCATGTCCAACAAAATGTCCATTCTTCCTCCTTCCTTCTTTCCTTCCTTTCCTCCCTCCCTCTCTTCCTTCCCCCCCTCCCTCCTTCCTTCCCTCCCTCCCTCCTTCCTTCCTTCCTTCCTTCTTTCCTTCCCCCCCTCCCTCCTTCCTTCCCTCCCTCCCTCCTTCCTTCCTTCCTTCCTTCCTTCCTTCCTTCCCTCCCTCCTTCCTTCCTTCCTTCCCTCCCTCCTTCCCTCCTTCCCTCACTCCCTCCTTCCTTCCTTTCTTCCTTCCTTCCTTCCTTCCTTCCTTCCCTCCCTCCCTCCTTCCCTCCCTCCTTCCTTCGTTCTTTCTCACTGCTAAACAGCATAGATGCTTTGACTTGGCCCATTTACCACCTGGGCTGGCCCCCTGCTCCTACGGGCTCACAACTTTGGTGCTGGCCTTGGACACCCAATCACCTTTAGGCTTCCTATAGCTCAGAGCTTGGTAATTCAATCAGTCTCCCCTCCTGAGCCTCCCCATTGGCAGGAATTACAGGCATGCACCACCACACTGTTAACATCCCACCTTTCCAGATTTATCAGACTTTTTTATTTTCACATACTCTTTTACATTCTAGCCAAATTACCTTACTTAGCCTTTCAGGTTCTCTGGAACATCTCCCACCTCTATGTCTTTGCATTGACTATTTATTCCCCCTGCCAGGAGTGCCCTCTCTTCACCACCACCTCTTAGAATCCCTGCCTTTGAGGCTTAGCTCTGACCTCACCTCCTGCATTGGACCTTTGCTGCTTCCTCAAGTTATGAGGGCCCCGTATTACTTTGTAATTACTCTCTTTGTTTTCTCTTTTTACGTACTTGTATATATGTTGTTTTCCCTGATAGAACATAAGCTCCGTGAGGGCAGTGCTTACTTTCAGTTTCGTCTGGATATCCACAGTGCCTAGCATGATGCTTGTCAGATAGGTGTTTAATAAGTGCTCAGTGAGTGAATGAATCAGCCCAGAATCTGGCAGCTCACGCTTGACCCTCTTCCTTTCCAGGTAATGCCTCCCAGCCCGAGACCAAAGCCATCATGGAAAACTTGATCCAGAAGCAGGACTTCAGTCTGTCCGTGGCTCTGGATGGGGGCTCCGTGCTGGTCACCTACCCCTACGACAAGCCCGTGCAGACAGGTACCTCTGCCTTCACCCTCTGTGCATGATCTCAGTGGGACCGGGCAGGCGATCAGCGGCTTTCCTCCGTGGTTTGAATCGGGGTCAGAGGCCTTGGGAGCCTTCTGGTGTCTCTGGCACCTGAACAAGACTGACTTTGTACAAAATTCTGGACAAATGGCCCTCCAGCCCCTGCTCGAGGGCCTCTGGTGAGAGAGGAGACCCCACTGCCTGCCAGGGCAGCCCCACACACCTTGGCCCAGCTCTCAGGGGGACAGGAGGCACATGCTTACATAGAACTTCCCCCGCTGTTCCTGCCTCTGGCCTCTGGGGCTCAACAGGATGAGCCCATTCTTTCTTCCACGTGACAGCCTTTCCCATCACCCCCTTTCTTCTCTTCCCCAGTTGCTGTTGCTGATCTCACGGCTCTTTACCTTCCTGGTTGTCCACCTCACTGGCCTTCTTAACCTCCTTAGACGTGTTCAGAGCCTTCCACGTATGGTCTGACCAGGGCCGAGGGCAGAGGAATTACTCTCTCTGTACTCCTGCAAGCCCTCTCGGCGTCCCTCGGTGCAGTCCCTGGTCAGATCGCCCTTCCTGGGGCCTCTGCCGTCCTGTACGTGCGAGGTTCTCGTAGGTGAAGCCATTCTTCACTTTTTGGGTCAGTCAGGTAATCACCAAGCTGATAATTTTAGTGCTTGGGAAACAAACTCTGAAGCCTGCGTGGCACCTGAACAGTTTCCTTAGCGACGCAGGGGAGGGATCAGCTGTGCTGATGATGCAGCCCCTCCCCTCCCAGCCCAGCTTCCAGAAGCCAAACCCTCTGGGCTGGTCTGAAACCAGGTGAGGGAGGAAGGAAAGCCATCGCAGCCAGGAATGAGTGCCCAGCTTCCAGGAAGGCATCAGAACCCGGGCTAGGGCTTGTGAGAGAAGGGATAGAATCAGTAGGAGTTAGAGTCTCAGAATTCTAGAAGAACATTTGGGGTTTAGCTTTTTTTTTTTAATTTTTTTATTTTTAACATATGTTTTTAAAACTTTGGGTTACAGATTTTCTCCCTTCCTCCCTCCCCACCTACCCTCATTGAAAAGGCAAGCACCTTGATACAGGTTACAGATGTGTAGTCATGCAAAACTTCCATAGTAGTCATGTTGTGAAAAACTAAGTATACTTCCCTTCATCCTATCCTGCCCCCCATTTATTCTATTCTCTCTTTTGACCCTGTCCCTCCTCAGAAGTGTTTGCTTCTGATTATCCCCTCCCCCATGCTCTCCCCTCTTATCAACCCCCTGTTCTCTTGTCCTCTTCCCCTCTTATTTTCCTGTAGGGTAAGATAGATTTCCATATGGGGGTTAGCTTTGAAGAGGGGAAGGGACCCTCCACTTCCTGACATTCAGGCAGGAGTCCCCTCTGTCCCACAGGATCTTCTTCACACTACCCAAAGATCTACTAACTAGAAATTTACTTTGGGTTAACAAACAACCTCTTTTAAAATCCAGTTATTCATAAAAGGATCACAATCATGTGAATTAGTGCTATCTGTTTTTTTTTTCCCTCCCGAACCTGTGATTTCATTAGTATGGGGAACTCCCAGATGAGGGAGTGCTCTTTTCTGGTGATGGTTTGTACATTCTCTGCAACATGTAGTCTTAGAGAATGGCCTAGAACCCTGAGATGATAAGTATCTTACTCAGAGCCACACAGCCAGTTTGTATCAGAGGCAAGACTTGTACCCAGGTCTTCCTCATTCTCCAGATACCACACCATCCTCCCTCTGAGGCCCCTTCTAGCTTCTAGACCTATTCCTGATTCAAACCGCTGCTGAATGCCAGTGAATTTGGTGGTGTTAACTCTGTGCACAACACAGTCAACCTTTGCTGAATGGTTGCCAGATGATGTAGTAATTAATAATATTAGCTCGCCAAACCTTCCTTGCAGAAGTGAGACATTATGAGTGTGGAATGTTGTTAATAATATGGGTATGGAACATTGTTAATAATAATGACAAAAGTAATAACAGCATTTATGTAGCGCTTTAAGGCTACATCATCAACACTGGGAGATAGATGCTTTTATAATCTCCATTTGACAGATGAGGAAACTGAAATAAACCATGTGAAGTGATTTGCCCAGGGTCACATAGCTAGTGTCTGAGGCCGGATTTGAACTCAGGTCTTCCTGAGGGCCCAGTCTTATCCTCTCTGTTTACTGCTTACACTGTCCAGTCTGGTCCATGTGTGGGTCGGTTTTGCTGAGTTCTTTTCTTTTTCAGTCTGGTATGATGGATGTTTGTTGGGGAAGGGAGGTGATCTGTTTATAAGACTGAATCATAGGTTTAGAGCTAGAACATGTTTCAGAGGTCAGTTCTGCCATTTAGAGGGGAGGAGCCTGGGGAGTCAAGGGGTTCAGAGATCTGTAGAACTGTAGCTGAAAAGACTTGAGAGGCCCTTCCACAGGGTCATACAGGTAGTGTCAGAGGCTGGATCTGAACCCCAGATGTGAGCCCCTGAAAATCACTGTGACTGGTATGACCCCAGCTCACAGCATGTGGGTGTGGACAAGGGTCGCCTGACCCAAAGGTCAGGCTTTGCCACCCTGGCCGCTCACTTGCTTATGGCATAACTGGAGTTATGTTTCCTGGTCCTCAGAAAATTAATTCTGTGATTTCAGCACTCTTGGTTACCCCATGGCCTTGCCCATAGATGGCTGGGCAGGCTCCTCTTAGTGCCAGGCCAACTCTTTGTCTAAAATTTTCTATATGCAGTTGGACATCTGGATTCCCCAGCATGGCTCTTAGCCCACTGTGGCCATGGAGCTCATAGGGAGCTGTTCTCCATCTACATGCCCTGCCTTGGGTCCCTCTCACTTCAGAGCCCACATTCTTCCACCATCCCTTATTGTCTCCCATCCAGAAATGAATAGAAATTTAAAATATCTCCTATTTATATGTCCCTTTCCTCATGACCACCCTGTGAGTGAGCCCTAGTTGTACAAGTATTGTCCCCATTTTACAGAAAGTGAAATTCCAGGTACAGAGGCTGAGTTGCAAGTTAGTAGAAGAGTAGGCCTAGACCTTATGACTTCCAGTCCTGTCCTACACACCACTCATCCTCTAGCATCCTGTCTGTAGGAAAATAGCTTTCATATTTAACATGGCAACCAACATGTGAGCGTCACCAAATTTGGTGAACTCAAGGTCATCAGCCTCTGGTTGAATAGGTTAGCTTTACATCTGGCCCAGGGGTGGTGCTTAATCAACGTTTATCTAATTAGGTAATGAGACAGACTCTGATTTCATATGGAGAAGTAAGTTAATTTCTTATCTAGTGATGGAAGTTGGAAGTTCAAAGCCATCTTCCTGTGGACCCTTCCCTCCACTGACTTGGGAACTTTTACTTTTGTAGTGGAAAACAAAGAGACTCTGCGGCATTTGGCATCTCTCTACGCCAATAATCACCCGTCTATGCACATGGGGCAGCCCAGCTGCCCAAATAAGTCAGGTACGTACTGGTTGGTATCGCTGTCCCTCCCTCTCTTATTTCACAAAACTTAACTACGCAGACAGTTACTCCACTGGGGCGTTGGGCTCCAGCTAGAAGGTCCCTTCCATACCTGCCTGACCAGCTGACGACGTCTAGGGCTTCACAGATGTATAGAGTTGGAGAGTTGGCATGAGCCTTGGAGAGCGTCTGGTGCCGTTGCTCCCTTGGTAGTGCCCGCCACCGCACTGACTCATCAGTGACAGCCGGCATCTTGGGCCTTCTTGTTGCTGCCTGGCATCCCCTTTAGTGGTCTCCACCTCTGGGAGGAAGACGTAGGAGAATAGGATGTACCATATCTTCCTGCATTAAAAGTCGTAGGTTTAAAGCTAGAAGGGACTTGATTCCAACCCCCTGATTTTACCAGAGGAGGAAGCTGAGTTTAGACCAGGGTCACATAGCCAGGAAGTATCCAGAGCAGGATTCAAATCCAGATCTCCCTCATCACCAGTCCAACAGTCTATTCATTATACAAGGCTGCCTACCAGCCACCGTCAGACTGTGTCCTTTGCCACTGGATGATTGAGTTCTTATAGTCAGAGCTAAAGCTACGGTGGGACAACTGGAAGAATTTAGAGCATCCACAAATTTAATATGTGGCTTCCTTTAGTAGGTAGAAATCACTGAACATTAATTAGTTGAGAAAAGTAGCAAATATGAGCATATAAAAATAAAATTTATAGTTTTTGTGTTTATGTATTATCTATTAAATACATGTTTATGTTACATGTTAAATTCATGACTTGACATTATAATGTGAAGTAAATGTAAATAAATTATAAGTAATAAACTGTTAGTTAAAATATGATATATGAAGTACCTGTAAGAAAGAGTATACATCTTAGCAGTAACATGTACCTATGAACCCTTTAATTCCTGATCACGACTGAATTTGTTGATTTAAGGGCTTGTGTTAACAGGCTAAAATGTCCAGTTATGGCTCTGGTTCTAGGGTCATAGAATTATTAGGTCTTGTAGGGACCTTAGAGGTTATTTTACAAAAGAGGAAACTGGGTCCCAGATGGGTCATAGGATCCTTTTGTCTAGAGCTGGAGGGGCCTCAGTCGTCATCTCATCCAAATCCCTTCATTTTCTAGATGAGTAAACTGAGGCCAAAGAGGGAAGTGAGGTACCCAAGATGTCTCACACACGTAGGACATTGGAGAACCAGGAGTTGAACCCAGGGCCGCTGACTCCCAATTTTGTCCCCTTTCCCCTGTACCACATTGTCCATTAGCGTCAGTCCAGTGGCAGTGGTTCTGATTGTGATGTCGTTGGTGGCCAGTAGCTGAGCTAGTCTGGAACATCAGGGGGCCCCATCGCCGTGTCTAGGGCTTCAACAGCATGGCATGCTCAGCTTATCCCTGGCCTCGTATTTCTGGATGTTTTTACAGATGAGAACATTCCAGGAGGAGTGATTCGTGGGGCCGAATGGCATGGACACATGGGCAGCATGAAGGTACGTGCTTCCTCCCTCCCTCCTCTCCCTTTCTGTCTCTCTCTGTCTCTGGCTCTGTCTCTGGCTCTCTCTGTTTCTCTGTCTCTTTAACCAATACATTTCATTTCAAAACATTGATTTCTCAACAGACAGACCCATCCCTTCTACCCTGCCCTAGATAGTTTAAACAGTTTGGGTGGTCTGGGGGTACAGACAAGGGATTTCATTGGTGTATGAAACTCTTAGTAAGGTAACTCTCCCGATTCAAGTCAGCACCTGCCCCTAAGAGTCTTAGGGAGTGTCTTAGGAGCTGAGAGGTTAATGGCTTTGCCCAAGCCACAGAGCCAGAATATGTCAAGAGGCAGATTTCCCTGACTCTGAGGCTGCCTTTCTATCTTGTCTCCCCTAAAGCCTTCCAGTTTTTTCTTCTGACGCAGTAGTGTGTTAAGAGTCATATGCCAGTGCGTTTGGCCGTTCCCTCAGTTACTGAGCACGTGATTTGTTCCTGGCATTTTACAATCACAAAGAGTGTGGCTGTGGCCATTTTGCTACATCTGTGTCCTTTCTGTCTGAGATCCCCTCCCAGGCAGGGTCCATTGCAGCCTCAGATCGGTATTGTTGTTGGTTGACTTTTTAAAAAATCCACAACATTTATTTTCTCTCCCTCTTCTCTCCCCACCCCCATTAAAAAAATAAGAAAAACAAAATGTTTGTAGCAAATATGCATCATCATGAAAGCAAAGTCCCCCGTTGGCCACATCCAAAAACGTATGTTTTGTTGTGCCCTTCTTGTTGGTAGGGGGTAAGCAGGCTTTATTAGTCCTCTGGAACCGTGCTTGGTCATGGCATTAATCAGAGTTCTCAAGCCATTCAAAATTGTCTTTACAGTGTTGTAGTTATTATCTAAATTGTTCCCCTGGCTCTGCTCACTTCACTCTGCTTCAGTTCATATGAGTCTTCCCAGGTTTTTCTGAAGCCATCCCTTTGGTCATTTCTTATGGTGCAGTGCTCTTCCACAACACACTCGGGTATCATTATTTGTTCAGCCTTCAGTTTCCAGTTCTATGCCACTCCAAAAAGAGGTGCTGTAGATATTTTTGTGCACTTGAGTCCTTCTCCTTTTGCTTTGGGCTGGACTAGTGATTCCCAGCCCTACTAGTGTGTCAGCATACCTGCTTTGCTAAAGCCCTTCCAACATATGCCAACATGGGTCATTTTTTTCTTTTTTCTTTTTTTTCTTTTTCTTTTTCTTTTTTTTTTTGCCATTTTTGCTAATCTGATGGGTATGAGGTAGAGCCTTAGATATGCTTTAATTTGCATTTCTCTAGTAGCAAGTTGGAACATTTTTCATATGGTTGTTGATGGCTTGCATTTCTTTCATAGAAAACTGCCTGCTCATATGTTTTGACCATTTCTCAACTGGGGAATGGCTCTTTTTCTTATAAATTTGGATCCGTTCCTTATGTATCTTGGAAATGAGTCCCTTGTCAGAGAAGGCTTCTATTTATAAAGGATGCTTTATATTCCCAGAAAGATCTTATAATTCTTATTGTTTTTCTTATCCAGCGGCATCTTCCATCCCCAAAACCTCCTCCTCCTTCCTGACACAGACAACCTTCCTGGATCCTGATTTTTTACGTCTTGACTTTCTTTTCCAGGATTACAGTGTCACGTATGGTCACTGTCCGGAGATCACTGTGTACACCAGCTGCTGTTACTTCCCCAGTGCCGGACAACTCCCTGCCTTGTGGGCAGAGAACAAGAAATCCCTTCTCAGCATGCTAGTGGAGGTGAGACTTACCTCTGGAAGTAGACGCCCGTGGCAGCATGGCGGCTCAGTTGGCCTGTTGGCCAACCTGGACAGGACCACATTCCCTGTCCGTGGTTGTCCAGCCTCTCCTTGGAGATGTGAGTGACTCCGTGGGTGAGGGGCCTAGCTTGCCCACCCTCTCTAGAGGTGGGCCATTCAGCTTGGAGACTGCTGCCATTGTCAGGAAGATCTTTCTTGTATTAAGCCTGAAACTTGGTCTCCCTGAAGAGCCCATCCATTGCTCCTACTTCTGCTCAAGAGGAGAGGATTGGTTCTTCCTTCCCCACCTCCATCCCTCAAACCATGAAGCACTGGAGACAAGGCCAGATTTCACAGGGAGGAGATTACTTATCTTGAGCTCTTAACCCTGAAATGCATGAAATTCTCTAACAAAGGCCCTTATCTCTTAGGCTCACAGCTCCTGAGCTGGAAGGGTGCTTTGGAGGCTGTCTTGTCCAAATCCCCCATTTTACAGATGAGGAAACTGAGGCCTAGCAATCTCTGGAGCTAAAAGAGACCTCAGAGGCGATCTGTGAGGAAATGGCGGCCGAGGTCCTTTCGTAGACTCTAGAGCATAGATCTAGGCTTGGGACGACGAACTGAGATTGAGAGATATATAGTTTGAAGGGATTTCTGAAGCCATCTACTCCATCTCCCCCCTTCCTCATTTTATATATGAAGAAATGGGTGCAATGAAGAAATATGACTTGCCCAAGGTCACACAGGTCCAAAGTATCCGAGATGGGAATTAGGTCCAGACCCTCTCACTGTAGAACCAGTTTTCTTTCTACTATACCTCCTGTTTTTAAAAATTAAGTCTTAATGATGGTTTTTGTTTTAATGTCAATGTCATCTCCTCCCATCACAAAGAAAAGATGGTTAAGCAAAAACAGCCTCTACCATGTACCCTGGTAGCCCCCGCTCCTCTTCTGAGAGAAAGGGATGGTACGTGCAATTATCTATTCCCTGGGACCATTTTCAGTTTTCCACTTAAGTCAGTGTTCAGTCTCCTTTTAGTGATCTCTTCATTGACACTGTCATGGTGTCTCTTGTCCTCCTCGCTCTATTTGCTTCGCCCCGTCTCAGTTCATGTCAGTCTTCCCATGTTGTTCTGAATTCTTCGAGCTCAGCCTTTCTGGCTGCATGATAATATTCCTTTAGCAGATGGGGCCTGAATTTGAAAAGCAAATCGAAATGGCAGACCACCGATTCGGCTTTCTCTGTCCAGGTTCACAAGGGCGTCCATGGAATTGTCCAGGACAAGAGTGGAAAACCAGTCTCGAAGGCAGTCATCATTCTCAACGAGGGCATTAAGGTGCACACGAAAGAGGGTGGCTATTTCCACGTGCTGTTAGCCCCTGGCTTCCATAACATCAACGCCATAGCTGATGGCTACCAGCAGCAGCATTCCCAGGTGAGAGACGTAAGCAACGCACAGTCGTGGGATCCCAGATCTAGAGGTGGGAGGGACCTCAGCGGCCGTCTAGTCCTGCTCCCTTCATTTTATGGATGAGGAAACTCAGGCCCAGAGGAAGGGAAATGACTTGCCCAAGGTCACAAAGGTGGAGGATGGGATTCAAATCCAGGTCCTCTGACTTCACATCCATCAAAAAAGTCGTCCCCTTCTTTTTCAAAAACATTCTTCACATTCATTATTCTTTTTCTGTTACATTAATATTTTCAAATGTTCAACTGATATGAATATGTGACCTCGTCAGTTTGGGAGAGCCTTCCAGTGATACATAGCCCATCTTGTTCTACCTCGAGCCAGTCCAGGAGTTCAGGCTTGGGATTAGAATGAAATGAGACATGTGTGGGCCACCCAGCATTTCATAAAAGAATTTGCTGAGCCGAAGCACGGAAAGGATATTGACCAGTGATAGGCCATCGGTTCAGCTGGCTGCAGTTCCCTTGCCTTCCCATTTACCGTGCTGGGGTGCCTGCTCAGAAGCATGCGTCTAACCTGATGACTCCCCCAGCACCCCATGCTTTGGACTACATCAGTGATAGGAGTCTTAGTTCCCTAGGCCAATTAAGTCTCGGGGATGGCTTCATTGCCTTTTAAGGGGAAAGAAAACCCATCTTGCATGGCAGGAACCTTATTAGCTGTCTCTAGATATCATCTTGCCACACCTTCCTGCCTGCCCATTCCACCTGAAGCATATCTATGTCTTCCCATGACTTTGCCACCGAGAGATCAACCCATGATCATTCAGCCAGCTGTCAGATGCGCCAGGCATCTACGAAGAGGGTACACGAATAGCTCCTGCCTTCAAGGAACTTATACTTTAATGGGGAAAACAACATGCAAGTAAATAGGTATCTATAAGGTGCAGAAGTGATGGAAGGCAGCCTTAGTGGGGGCGGCCCCAGCAGGACCCAAGACAAAGGAGAGCCGCTTTTCTGCCCTTTCGTTTATTTATTCAGCCACTGTCCCCATTGTGGGACCCACCATCTACCACCATCTTATTGCCTTTACCGTTATAAGCAGACCTCTCTGACGCCATGAGCTTTGCCTTTCCAGGTCTTTGTGCACCATGATGCGGCCAGTTCAGTGGTCATCGTCTTTGACACAGACAACCGGATCTTTGGCTTGCCCAGGGAGCTTGTGGTGACCGTAGCAGGTGAGGCCTCCCTCCCTCGCAGTCTTCTTGCGGGCCATTGACGCAGTGGGGTGAGCGGGTGCCCTTAGGCTAGAGCAGACAGCCCCTGCTCCTTTTCCCTTGTTCCCCTTCAACTTTCGATTTAAGATTAGTGACCTCCTGAGGGAGGGAACCGGCATTTGTACAGCTCTCACTACACACCGGGGACCGTGCTAACCTCTTTACAAATATCATCTCATTTGATCCTCACAACAGTCCCGAGAGGTAGGTGTTCTTTTTATCCTTATTTTACAGTTGAGGAGACTGAGGCAAATGGGAGTTAAGTGACTTGTCCAGGGTCACAGAGCCAGTAAGTGTCTGTGACTGGATTTGAACTCAGGTCTTCTGCCCCCTGAAGTATGCAGCTAGGTGGCTCAGTGAATAGAGTGCTAGACTTGGTGTCCAGAAGCCCCGAGTTCAAATCTTGCCTCAGACCCCCATTGGCTTCGTGATTCTAGACAAATCACTTCACTTCTGGGCCTCAGTTTCTTCCTCTGTCAAATGATGGGGTTGTATTCCTTGGCTTCTAAGGTTCCTTCCAGCTCCAGATCTGTGCTCAGGTGAACCTGTGAAAGGTCCCTATTGCTCTCAGCAAGCCAGCATCCTTAGGACAGGGACCTGCTATTTATAGTATTGGGTCCATAGTCAGATGTCACTGGCTCCCAAGAGGCATTTGAATAGCAGCAGGTTTGGGGGTGGGGTCTTAACCTGGAGTCTCTGACCTTGTTTTTTAAAAATACGTTTCGACAGTTATTTTATAGGATGGATTTAAAAACATGCTTCTGAGAAAGGGTCCCGGGGCTTCCCTAGACTGCCAAAGGCAGGGTCTGGGACACAAAGTAGGTCAAGAACCCTTGAATTAGGGCAAAGCCCTTCCAGCTGGTCCAGAACAAGAACACGGAAAACTCGCTTTGAGAGGTGGCCTTGTATGCCAAGTGCCATTTTATGGGTGAGCAAAGTTGCCCCAGGTCACCCAGGTAGTTAAATGGCCGAGTCAGCCTGTGAATTTAGGCCCTCTGACTCTTCCCCTCCCGCCTGGGTGTGCTCAGACGTAGAGGACATTTCAGTGTTCGTTTCTCCCCGGCAGGTGCCACCATGTCAGCGCTGGTTCTGACAGCTTGCATCATCTGGTGTGTCTGTTCCATCAAGTCCAACAGACACAAGGACGGCTTCCATCGGCTCCGGCAGCATCACGACGACTATGAGGACGAAATCCGGTTGATGTCCACGGGCTCCAAGAAGTCCCTCTTAAGCCACGAATTCCAGGATGAAACAGACACGGAAGAGGAGACACTGTATTCCAGCAAACACTGAGCCGCCCGCCATCTGTCCCCGCCTATGTCCTGAGCAGGAGGAGGGCTCCCTGCTTCTGGGAGATTCTGTGTTTGTGCAGGCGGGCAGGCGACCATCTGTCCTGCATCTTCAGAAAGCTGTTAGGAAAGTTAACTGGCTGAAAAAAATGTGTAACCTCCATGAATACGAAAGATCTGGTCCTCCTTCGATGTACTCTCATCTTTTGTTTTTTCCTCTTTTTTTTGGATCTCTTTCTATTTATGCATCAGAGGAGGGCCAAGACATGTCGTTCCCCCCCCACACTTTTTTTTTCCCCCAGCAAAACCCAGCTGTTTGGCTCACTTAATGGCAGCATCCAGCTGACTGGTAGATGTTGCCTTTGCATTCCGGGTATTTGCTAGTGGCTTTAGCTTCTGCCCCTTATTAACAAGGCCCCCACTTCCCTCCCCCAAAACAGGACCTGCAGGGATAGCTATCAGCATCAGTGGTATGAAGCTTTAAAGTTCTAGGTTTCTTTCAACCTTCTGAGATTTTTTTTTCCTTCTTCCAGTTTATCAAGTAACTGGAGTTTCCTTTTATTACTTACATGGAATAGAGGCTAAATTGAGTTTTAAGATAAAAAAGAAAAGGCTTCCTGGGGCTTGTCTCTCTATCCTAAAACTAATTGGGAGCTGTCATGCTAAACTCCAAAATGGGATCTTACTACCTCTCTCATTAGATTTCACAAAGCTTAATTATTCCGGTTTTCAGGGAGAAACCAGTAGGCCTCATAGTGGAAGGTCTTAACGAGGCTTTCAGAAGAGAGAAAAGGAGGAGGAGGTTTAACAGTGTATGACTCAGTTTGCCTGCCTTGAACCTAGCTAAAGACAAACCCATAGGTACTCTGCTGTGGTTGCCTGTGGAGCTTGGGCTCGTCACCAGGAGGATGCTTGGCTTGTTAACGTTTCCCCAAACCGAGACCTTTGCTATGCCGTGTTAGCCATGTTGCTTCATCTGGTCCATCCAGCCTGTTTGCTGGTTTGCATTCTGTGGACGGCATCTGGAAGTGTTGAGGAGGGGCCTCCTCTTTTGCGCATTTTTAACCCATGTTTAAACCCACAGCACCCCACCCCCCACTTATCATTATTCCTCAGCCCAAGCAGCATTGACGGCATCCTGCTGTGAGCTGCTGAATGTTCCTCCTCCTCCTTGCAAAGCGTGACTGATGTCACAGACTCAGGCCCTTGCTGACACATGAGCTGCTCATCCCAGCAGCTCCCTTGATGGCTTCTCTCTTATTTAACTCTAGCAGTTCTAGTTGGGGAGGCGGGGTCTTTAAATATGGCCATTGCCCATCAAGCGAGCAGTATTGGGTGAGAAAGTTGTTCTTTCTCCAGCTGGTCAGAAGACAGGAATAGCTTGAACTTTATCATGTTGAATATCATGGTCACAGATTGGGCAAAAGTGTGGGTTGCAGTCATGGGACAATGAGAATATCAGATAACCTTTCAGTATCCTAAAGGCAGATCGAGGGTCCCTTGTGATTGTAGTGAGCATCCATACATCAGTCCTCCATCCTAGAGCCTTTCCTCTGAGTGAGTCAGGGCCAGCCAGTAACATTCAGCACGGCTTGGGTAGAATGCAATCCAGAGACTTGGTGAAGTAGGATTTGCCTTTGTGCCAGTGAAGCTGATGAGGGTCAATTTTAAATTGGGCTGGTTCAGAATTAAGTTGTTCTTCTGGCAGGCTTGGACTGAGAAGGCCTCTCCGGAAGACGAGCTCGTGGGGTGCCAAAGTAATGGTTATTAGTAGTTTACTAGTCTTTATCCCTTCCCCTTTAATAATAACTTAACATTTCTTTGGTTACTAGACTCATTTCATCCTCATTTTCAAAGTGCTTTATCAAGTAACCAACAAAAACAACTTTTGAGGGGCAGTTAGGTGGCGCAGTGGTTAGGGCTCCGGCCTTGGAGTCAAGAGGTCCTAAGTTCAAATCCAGCTTCAGACACTTGACACTTCCTAGCTCTGTGACCCTGGACAAGTCATTTAACCCCGATTGCCTCACAAAAAAAAAAAGATTGAAAAAAAATTTTTTTTTTGGATTCAGCTTCATTTTAACTTGAGTGGCAGGTTCCACTTGGGGCAGTGCAAGTGGGAAGGAAATGCCATTGGCCTGAGATGAGAGATGCATCAGTGTTCACTTGCCAAGAGTAATGCTTTCTGTCAGAAGGTCGTTTAAGAATCTCTCCTTCCTCAAACGTTTTGTTTTTCAGTTGAATTAACCAGGAATGTATGGGGCACCTGCTATATGCCAGGAACTGTTCTAGGTGCTGGGGATAGAAAGACAAAAATGAGACAGCCCAGGCCTGCCCGCCAGAAGCTTACCTTCAGCTTTCATCTGCCAGCTGTTGGGGGACAAGTTGAGCATGGACAGGGGAGTGGGAAGAGGGAGTCATTGAGTTCTTTGGATCATTTTTTTTTTAATTTTTGAAAGAAAAACCAAGTTCTGCTCTACCTTTTGAGTTAGGTAGGAAAAATAGAACCTTTCTGTCTTAAAAGGAGGAGTTTCTAAGAATACCAGTGGACTCCAGAACCTCGGTGTCCCCAGCTTGTGTCCTCAATTCTTGTGAGTGTCCTGGACATGTGACTACTGACCCGAAGGGTTCTCAGCCTTCTTTCATGTCTCTGTTTGTGGAACCAAATTAGCCATATTAGGCCCAGCTGCCCATGTCCTGGGGCCAGAGAGAAGAGGGAAGTCGCCCCTCTCTGGGCTCTATCCCAGGAGCCTCCTATCCTGAGGAGTCAGTATTGAGAAATGTTGCTCAGATTCAACTTGTGCCTTGACTCCCAAGGCCTGGTGAGTCGGTTTTGTATCCCTGCTCCTTAATAAAAGACAATTTGACCTATTAGGTAACAGTGAAATTGTCCGCTTTTGTGTGAAAATGCTTTTATTGGGTCCTTTGGTCCAGTGAGGTGGACTGACTTGATTAAGTTCAGGGAAAGACACTGCCCTCTTGCTGAATTTTGCAGGAGAATGTGACTTGCCAGGGTAAGTGTGGGATGCTTGTTGCTCCGGTTGGAAGGAATTCTGCCTGGTACCTCCTCATCTATCCAGATGGGAAATATGTGGCCGGTTGGGGGTGTTGGCCTGGGAGTAGGGTTGGGGGGTGCTCAGCTGAAAGAGGGTACACTAAATGAAGTTGATTGTGACGTGACAAAAATGAATAAAAGATCTTTCCAGAACTTCTGTGTTCCTAGGCTGTCATCAGAGAGTCCCAGGTGATCCAGAGCAGGCTTTTAGGAGCTGACTCTGATAGCCAGCCTCAGTTTTAAAGGTCCCCAGTTTCCTCTCTCGGCCCACTAGAAATGCACTTGAACCACTAGGTCTGACCCTGCCTTGTATTAAGAGGCTCTCTGAAACCCCAGTATTACATCTACCAGCAACAGCCAGGCAACTGAAACTTCAAAGTTTTGCTTTAATGTTCTTTACCAAAATTCAATTTTAGCAGTGACTTCCGTTTTGTTGACCTCTCCTTTTGTCTTTGGGCCTCCGATTTCTTTTAGTTGAAGCACCTCTTTGATTTGGTGATTAGGGTCCTTAATTGGTTGATGCCAGCCTAAGGATGGGTGGGGTCCTCTAGTTGCCAGGACCCCCTCCCTCAACACTCATCTCGCATCTCCAGCAATAACTAGCCCACTGCCTGAACTTCAGGATGCTGGCTTGGCCCGTTCCCATCTTGGCAGAAATAGAGTTTGAAGCTTACTAGGCCTTTAGAGGCAGTTGGGTTCCAATTATGATGTAAATATGTGTGATTGACACTTTGAGTCAGCAGCATGAGGCAAGGTCACCATCTTATTCTCCCTCTTGGTCACCCAAGAGCCCTTCTGGGTCATTGGCCTAAATGTATTGTTTTCTTCTCAGCTTCACATTCAGATCCCCACAAGCCCCATTTTCCCAGAATGATGCTATGCTTGGTTTCTGCAGAATAAGCTTGTTATTATAGTTGTTTCTACCAGGGTGCCCAGCAGATCCACACTCATCTCAACCACTTCTTCAGGCTTGGGCGTATAACATGCACTGTGCCTTCAAAAAGAAAAAAAAATTCAAAAGGACTTGACATGGAACTGAATGATAGTATTTTTTTTAAAGAGCCAATCTGTAATTTATGTGAAATCTAAATCTGTTAACGAGGTCCTTTTTTTTTTTAAACATGTAAACAGATCTAATAATCCTGCATAAAGGTTATTTTATGATGTCTGTCTTTTCTGTGTTTTGTCTCATCATCCTTTCAACAAGAAAAAACCAAAGGTCAGTAATTATGAAAGAGAGATGGTATGGCTGGAGAGGGAGTTGACTTAAGGTCAGGAAAATGTGGGTTCAAATCCTACCTCTGACACAGAAGCAGGTTCTTGACCCTGGGCAGCTCACTTAAACTCTCAGAGCCCCAGTCAGATCACTAAGAACCTAAATTGTGCAGCAGGTGTAGACATGCATTGAGGAGTTTCCTCTTGGGGGGGATGTCAGTGAAATCACAGGTCTGGTCCCCTCCCTGCCACCCCCCCCCAAAAAAAATCTAGAATTATGACTACAAAAGAACAGTCATATTTTAAAGCACTGGCAAGGTTCTTTTCTGAAATACATAACACTGATTTTACTGAAGCAGCAGGTCTGCCTGCCTTGTGAGCACAGCAGCCTGCAGTGGGGCTTGCTGGTGGTAAGGGATAGATCCCCTTCCCCTCTTTCCCCCCTCCACCTCTCTTTCCCTGTCTTCTTTCTCCCCCTCTCTCTTCTCTCTCTCCTCCCTCTCTCGCCCTCTCTTCTTCCCTCCCTGTCTTCTTTCTCCCCCTCTCTCTCCTCCCTCTCCTCCCTTCCTCCTTCCCTCCCTGTCTTCTTTCTCCCCCTCTCTCTCCTCCCTCCTTCCCTCCCTGTCTTCTTTCTCTCCCTCTGTATTCTCTCTCCCTCTCCCTTTCCCTCCCTGTCTTCTCTCTTCCTCTTTCCCTTTGTCACACACAATGTTGATGTCCAATTTGTCTTGATTTCTTTTCCCCTTGCTTTTCACGATCTTGCTGGTCACATCCCTGAGCACTTGTCTTTACTGATAGGTTTTGTTGCTGCAGGAGACCTTAGAGAGTGTCTGCTCCAACCTTCCCGTCATACAGAGGAGCAAACGGGCCTAGAAGAGTGAAGTCACTTGCCCAGGCCACACTGGAGCAGCAGTCAGAGTCTGGCTGGCTCTGAAGTCAGAGGACTGGGCTCAACCCCCGCTCTGACACTTAACTGTCTGTGCCTTTGGCCAAGTCACTTCACCTGCCTTGCCCTTGCTTTCCGTGCCTGAAAGATGAGGGGATGGGAGCAGGTGGGCCCAAGTTCAGATCTCCATTCCTTAAGTAGATGATATACGTGTGTGTGGATGTGGGTGTGTGTGACCTTTTTGTCAGGTCCTAATAAAGCAGGCTGTAGGTTTCCATTTTTTATCCCATTCAGATCTAGAGGTTCAGGTTGTCAAGTTGCATGGAAGCATTACTTTGGGAACAGAAGGGAAGGTCAAGGGAGAATGGGGTGCTTTAAATACCGTATAAGCTGTAATTACCTGCTGTTATTCATGTCTGGGGCAGCTATGTGGTGCGCTAGATATAGTACGGGGCCTGAAATCAAGAAAACTTATTTTCCGGAGTTCAAATCCAGCCTCAGACATGTACTAGTTGTGTGACCTTGGACTGGCCACAACCCCATTTGCCTCAGTTTCCTCATCTGCAAAATGAGCTGGAGAAGGAAATGGCAGACCACTCCAGTATCTTTGCCAAGAAGACCCCAAATGGGGTCACGAAGAGTCGGATGTGACAGGAAAATAATTGAATGACAACAAATGATCACATCTAGCACATATTTCAAATAGGCCATTAGTGGCTTATTTTAATGCTGCAAGTGTTCCCAAATTCATCTGTGTGGCCTTCCCACATGCCAATCTCAATCCCTCCATGCCATTTGTAAGTTGTGGCCAAAAGAGTTTGTCACCTGCTGGACAGCCCAGCCCTCTTCATTCATTTACATTAGCTGGTTCTTGAATGGCTTGTACAGTCCATCTCTGGGCCTGTACTGGCACCTTGTTAGGGACTTACCAGAGTTGTGCTGGCCTTGAGCTCACTTCTGTGCCATGATGAAGTCTCCGTGACCATTTGTTTGGGATTGCTTTTTTAAAAAAAATTTAACGTAGATGCCTCATTTCTAACTTATAGAGTCATGGTTGATATTGTTTAGAGAGGTAGGGGTGCCACTTTGGGATCTTTCCATTCGTTGTCCCATGTCTGAAGCTCATTGAATCTCCATGTATTCCACTTAAGGAAGGCAGTATAGAAGGGGCAGGCTGCTGGGAAGTGGGTAGGTTAGCATACATGGAATGAAAGCAACCCGTTTTATGTGAAAAGGGATACAGAAGATGGTCCTCTATTGAGAGAAGTTAGATTGGCTTAAATAACATGATGGTAGCTGTCGGTGAAAGAGGTTAAGTAGAAGTGAAGTCTATCATTAGGGGCCTTGAAGCCAGAAGCACAAAGCCAGACAGCTCAAAAGCAATGGGTGCTTGAAGCCATAGCAGCGGGCAGAGCTGGAGCCAAAGCAAAGGTAGTGCTTCTGAGCTGGGGATTTCTGAAGGTGAGACAAACTACTGACTCTCAGAGGGTGTAAGAGCTTTGTGAGCAAGGAAGCTAAGGGTATTCAATCTGAAGGGGTGGTAATACGGACATTAATGCCATGGAACGATCGAGCAAAGCCCCCGCAAGAGATCTGAGAATGTCTCCTCTCTCTTTAAAGACGTGGGGGACTATGGATATAAACACTATATAGAGTAGAGGATATGGTCAGTGCATGAATTAGTTTTGCTGAGAGGAAAGAGGGTGGGAGGAGAGGGAGACAGGAAGGTGGAAGGATAGTATGCCACACCACATATTCTAGTAACAGAAAGAAGAGAACCAGAGTGAAAGTCATCTCTCCCTTTAGGTTCTAAGTGGGCGGCTTTTCCTAGTGTACTGACCTTTTGCCATGGTCATGTGGCCCAAGGGACCAATGAATCATACCAAAGTGCCAAGTCATTCAAGCACTGATTCAGCACATGTGGTTGACCCAAGGGAAGCGGCCCAAAGGAGCTTGCTTCATCTCTAAGCTTGCTCTAGGGGATGCCCTCTCCTTCCAACACACACTTTGTAAGGTGGGAGCCAAGGTCCTTTGCTGACAGGGAGGGGGAAGCAGATGATGTAGGAGGTTAGAGGGGAGAAAAGAAGGTTTAGAAGAGTAGGGAGAATAATGGTCGATCAGGGAAGAATAAAATGATGCTCCTGCAGCAGTGAGGGCCCAGTTTGATATTAGATAAGATACATTTGTAGTGAACTACTCAGCATGAATGGCTCAGACACAGAGGAGTAAAAATGATGAAGACAGGTGAGGGAGGTAATGATAGGACAAGGGGACAAAGAATTCATACTCATAGGGTGGTTGGACTGGCTAATCATTGGGTTAACACTGAAAGGAGAAAAGGATGAGGAGAGCAGGGGTGAGATATGGGGAGAACAGGGAGGAGGTAAAGTGATGGGAGGCTGGCCATGAAGACAAAGAAAAACAAGACAGAAGGAGAGAGATTCTTGGGGAAGCTTTGGTCAAGGAGAATTTCAGAGTTCTGGGACATTCAATAAACATTTACTGAATGCCTACTATACGCCAACAGTTAACAGTTAGAGCAAGGGTATGACCATTGCATATGGTGGAGGTAGAGGGAAGATGAAGGTCTCGGGAATTTAAGTGGTTGATGACCTTGGAGACCAGGATGTTCAAGGGAAGATCAACATGTGTTTATGGGGGGCAGGGAAGGATTCCCTGATTATACCCATTACTGGTGTATGTTGAGGCATCAAAGTAGAAAGAGGAATGGGTTGGAGGTCGCTCACATCCCTGCCTTGGACACTTAGGACACGGGGTTGTGGACCAAGAGCTGGAAGGGACCTTAGGGTCATTCAGTCCACCCTACTAGTAGCTATTTACTAGCTACACAATTTTGGGTAATCATTTAATGTCTAGGAACTTCACACAACTCCCAAGACTTGACAGATTTTGCAAAGGAAGTCACAGATCTTTCTTTCAGCCTGAGAACACAACATGGGAATGGGGGATAAGGAATGGACCTGTGATTTCATCGATGCAGGAGGCTCCTGAGGAGGGAGGGCCTCTACTAAGGCAGAGAGCATATTTTCTGTTCTTTATGGTGCTGACCAGAGGTGACCTACATAGGGTCACACAGCTAACAAGTATCAGGCTGGGTAGGTCTCTTTGGCTCTGAAGCCAGCCCTCATGAGATCATCGATTTAGAGCTGGATGGCCGTAGAGTCTAACCACCTCCTTTTACAGATGAGGAAACTGAGGCACTGATGGGTGACTTGCCCAGGGCCACACAGCTATTAGGGAAGGAGTCAAAACCAGGGCCTCCTGCCTTCATTCCCAGCCTTCCTAGATTTGCAGCAAGGGACCTGAGGCTCTGGGGAAAAAAAAGGTGTGGGAAACGTGGGGGGGCGGGGGGGGGGAGGCTGGGACACACAGCCCGAGGCTTCCCTGGGTCCAAAGTGCGAAGTACAATCCGAAGGGCCGTCCCTGTTCACAGGATGCAGATTCCCCCACCCCACCGCGAGGTGGCGGTGCCTTCGGAGGCTCGCCTATCCCATCGGCCCCAGCGCGGGCCAGCGGGGCTGAGCCGATGAGGGCGGTGGGGCGGAAGCGACGCTCTGGCCTTCTTCCTCTTCAGTGCTCCCCGGCCCCGGCTGACGTTGGACAACAGAGATGGCGGCAGGAACCAGCAACTACTGGGAAGGTGAGAGAGTGACGACCGGGGCCGGGGGGCCATAGGACCCTCAGAGGAGGAGAGGAGGGTGGGGGGCCGTGAGGAAAGCGGGCGCCCCGGAGGGGTTGGGCTCCGGAGCGGGGGGGGGGGGGGGGCGGGGATGCGGCTCTCGGAGAGGGCGGGGGAGAGGCCTCGGTCCGGAGCTGGAGGGCGGGGGGGCCACCGGCAAGCTGGGGGGGCCTGGGGGCGGGCGGACGGGGCGGCTGCCGAGCCTCCTGCGCTTCCGTCATTCCTTCCTCTTTCCCTCCTTCCTTCTTGCCTTCCTTCCTCCCTCCCTCCCTCCCTCCATTTTTTCCTTCTTCCCTTCCTCCTTCCTTCCTCTTTACCTCCTTCCTTCCTCCCTCTTTCCTCCTTCTCTCCCTTCCTTCCATCTTCCCTCCTTCCTTCCTCCTTCTTTCCTCCTTTCGCTTCTTCCTTCCCTCTCTTCTTCCCTTCCTTCTCTCACTTCTTTCTTCCTTTTTCATTCCTCTGGCCCTTATTTCCTTCCTTCCTTATTTTCTCCCTTCCTTCCTTTTTCCCTCTCTTCCTTCATCTCTTCCGTCATCTCTCCCTCTTCCATCATCTCTCCCTCTTCCCCTCTTCCCTTCCTTCCTCTCTTTCCCCCTTTCTTCCATCCAAAAGTCAGTGGAGACTGTTTTCTGACTTTTTTTACCCTCTCCCCACACGCATTATCTTATTTTGAGAAAACTTTATTTTAAATCTCACAGGCAGAATAAATCACAGCTCATTGTAGTATCATAGTATCCCATGTGTATAGAGCTGGAAAGGCCCTCAGATGCCTTCTAGTGACTAAACCCCCCTCCTTTTTACAGATAAGGAAACTGAGGCCCAGAAGGGCTGAGTGACTTTGGATCCTAGATGTAGAGCTGGAAGGGATCTCAGAGGCCATGCCAGTCAGCCCTTTTATTTAGCAAATGAGGAAACTGAGGTTCAGGGGGTGTCAGTGGCTTGCCAAAAAGGTAAAACTCATCAGAGATAAAATTGGAATCCAGGGCCTCTGACTCAAGTCATTGATTTTAAAGCCTTTGAAGATTGACACACACACACACACAAATTGAGCCTTTGTATCTGTTTTCCTGCACAGTGTGTGGAACTTAGTTCTTCTAAGTGCTTATGAAACCTTTTCTTTCACTCTTTCATTTATCTGCCTAACTCTTTGATGAAGAGTCCGTGCTCTGGATTTCCTTTATCTCTTCATTTTTTTCTGTTGCTCTTCACAGAATCTGTGGGAATTGGGTGTGTATAAGCATGTTTTTCACACCAGTATTGGCCTTTTTGTCTGGAAAATTAATTTTCATGGATTTAAAACTGGAAGGGGCTCAGTTTTTCAACTGCAAAGTGAGGGGGTTGAACTAGGAGGCCTCTTAGGTCCATTATGACTCATGATCAGGGTCTCAACTTAGGTTCAGGAAACTTGTTTCTTTAGAAATATTTTGTTAATTGTATTTCAGTATGATTGGCTTTCTTTGTAACCCCATATATTTTATTGCATTTTTTCAAAATTATGATTCTGAGAAGGATGGAATCCATGATCTAAAAAAGGTGAAGAACTCTTGCTTTAGATCTATGATTTTTGAAACTGAGAACCATAGTATGGCTTCCCAAGGATTGGAACTGAGGGCCTTTGACTCCAAATCTAGTGCTGTTTCCCCTGCACCACATTACTGCCTGAGAGGCAGAGGGACACGGTCTTGGAATCATGAAGATCTGGGTTCAGGTCCCTGTCAGTCAGCAGTTCTGGTCCATATCTTCCCTTGAGTTCACCACGGGGGGGGGGGTCTGTGCAATGTTCGAGGGTCCTTCCATTCTTTCCCTGACATCTGGATAATACATACTCAATACGGTAGTGCTCACACTGTCAGCCTGTTGTCTCTTGCCCACTATATATAACCAGCCCATCTTTTTCCATCAGCTTCCCACCCCAATCCTCATTGAGTCCACAAACAGGTAAAAAAAAAGGGGGTTATGATACTAGTAATGCCCACCTGAAGAGCCCATTCTGAGGACATGGCAAGATGATGATATAAATAAATCTTTCTGACTCCGAGCTGGCACTCTTCCCATTGGACCCTGCTGCTTCTCTTTTTTATCATCATCATTATAGATAATAGAATACTATTTTTGGCCATCTTCATGAAATCTGATTGAAGAAGGGTTTGCAGAGCCTTATACTCAGTGTTTTCTATCAAGAAGCAGCAACTTCTTAAGCTTTAATGAAGTGTTTTAAAACTACTTAGGAAAAAAAGCTATTTTAGAACACGCATCAAAGTGCCTTTTTGAAGACTGTGCTAGTGAAGAAGCACTTTTAGCTGACGTGTGTTTTTAGTGTCATTTATGAGGTGATCTTTTTTAAAATTTTTGGTGCATTGTGCTATTGCTTTGGCCATTGGGGATAATTCATATATTACTAATACATGTTAGAATTTACTGAAATATGAGTCTTTAGGCATTGTTTGTCTTTTTAATTTTGACCCTTCTATATGTTCACTTACTAAACAACAATGAGAAGCAGAAGGCCTACTTAGGGAGTTTCCAGGAGCTTGTTTTACTCATTCATTCATTTATTCAGAGAAAACCTGTAGATTTCTCTTATTTTGCTCCTTGTTTTCTTCTTTCTTTGTGCATATAAATTCCTCAACAGATCTCACATTTTTTAATGTAATGCATTGTGTAATATAACTACACCCAATTTCATCAGAGCATTTAGGGGAAAAAAGTTTCAGCCTCTTCCAAAAATTGCTTCTACTAAATCCGCTCTTTAAGGTGTAATTTCTATCTCTGCAAATTAGCAATGTCACTTTTTTAAAAAGCAGAAGCAGTTCAGTCAACAAGTCACTAATTCAGTAAAGAACGTGCCTTTGTGTTGGTTTCTGACTTGAGAAAGGATTATGACACATACCTTCTCAAATCAAAGACTTTATTTCTTATCTTTTGCTGAAAACAGCATCATGCTTGTCAGACCGAGGCGTTCCTATCATTGGATTCTGAGTGGAAGAGCCCTTGTCACAGATCTTGTGTTCCTCTGGGCGCCTCTTTCTTTCAACTCTGTACCCCAGACGTCATTCTTTGCTTTCTTTTGGCTTGTTCGGACACCTAGTGTTCTGCAGGTTGTGAGGATCAGCTCAGCACAGTCTAGCAGGCTTTGGATACACAACAGAAGTGAGACTTATTCCTCCATCACTCTTCCTCCTTGGCACTAAAGCGAGGTCTTAGGAAAGAGCATGAGAAGCAGTGTGTCATACATGGTCTTGGAGCCAGGAAGACCTAGGTTGGCACTAAGTCATGGCCTCTCAGCTGTTGAGGTAATTCTCTTCAATGGCAGCAACAGTGCTGACCTGCATTGGAAGAGGGTGTTTCCTCTATCGGTAGAACCGTCTTTTCTCTGAAGGAACCTGATATTTAAGTGGGGTTGGCTTCAGGTTGATGATTAAATGTAGCTGGATTTAGTGTTGAGATTTGTCTCAGGTGTAAGTCTGATGCTGAAGTATCTGCTTTATTGCATTGCTTCTACATGGAAGGGTAATCATTTTGTAAGAGCAGTGGCTCACTTGTTCTGTCAAAGGCAATTAGAGTCATGACTTTATTCTAAAAGAGTTTTGCTGTTTAGGTTATTATAGTAGTGGGTCAGAGCTGCTTTGACCTACCGAGATTCCAAGTTTTTGAACTACTCAAATTCTAACAGCTTAAAACTTGGAATGGTTTGTCTCCTTTTCTCTCCTGGTCCTCCTACCCATCTGACCTCTCCTCTTGCTGGGTCCGGCTCATACCTGCTAACCATGGGTGTCCCAGAGGGCTCTGTCCTGGTCCTTTTCTTCTCCCTCTTTACTATTCTGCCTGCTGATATCATTGGCTCCCATGGATTCAGTTATCTCTATCCAGCCCATATCTTTCTGCTGACCTTCAGTCTCATATCTCTAACTATCTATTAATCATCTTCAATTAGATGTTCTTTAGCCATCTTAAACTCAGCATGTCCAGAACTGAGCTCACTGTCTTTCCCCCCCAAACCCTTTCCTCTTTCTAACTTCTCTGTTGCAGTCGAGGGTACCAGCGATCCCTCCAGTCATCCGGGCTTGTAACCTACTCAGTTTCTTTCCCCACCATCCGCGCCATCTATTCAAAGGCCTTTTGGTTGAATCTTTGTAACTTCTCTCTCTCAGCTGACACTGTCACCACCCTGATGCAGGCTCTCATCCCCTGGACTCTTGCAGTAGCTTGCTGGTTGTTCTGTCCATACTCAGCTGTCAAAGTGACCTTCCTAAAGTGCAGGTCTATGTCATTCCCCCTACTCTGTAAAATCCAGTGGCCCTCTGTCACTTCCAGGATCAAATATAAAATCCTCATTTGGTATTCGAAACCCTTTATAACCTGACCAAAATCTTTCCAGTTTTCTTATACCTTGAACCCCATTGTGACCCTGCAGTCCAGTGACACTGGCCTCTTTTGCTGTTCCTCAAACAAGATACTCCATTTTCTGTCTCTGCATTTCACCCTTCAATGCTGTTTCCTTCTGAAATGATCTCCAAGTTATCCTGTATGTGTCATGTAGGTTAGTTGTTAGCATGTCAACTCTCCTATTAGACTTGTGAGCTCATTGACAGCAGGAATTCTCTTTTGTCTGTCTTTGTACACCAACACCTACAGCACAATTCCTGACACATAGTAGGTGTTTAATAAATATTTACTGACTGACTTTTCAGAATAGAAACTTTGTACTTTGATGTTTTTAGATGTATTTGCAAAACCACTTAAATTTTTAAGGGACAAAACAAATTTTTATAAATGAACTGTAGGGTATTTGCCAAGTGTGTACATATATTTTACTTTGGTTTTTTTTTTTTAACAGTACCTGGCATAAAACAGGTGTTTTAAAATATTTGATTAATTGGTTATAAACTTTATTCACTATGATTATGGATGTTTAAAATATTTCTTAATAAGGATTTGCTGGATGCATTGATCTACAAGGATTTATTACTTGCCTGTTATGTGCTAGAAGCTATTTGGGGCACATGTTTCCTCCCCGCAAGGGACCTACAGTTTATTTGGGGAGAAAAACCTAAAGCTAATTAAAAAATGAATAATATAAGGGCAGTATTTGCTAAATTGTATGGTAGAGACTCAAGTCCTTATGAAATTAATTTCAGAGATGCTAATTATAAGTGACAGGGTCTGCTTAAACTCAAGTATACAGGATAAAGTGACCATAGAAGAGGACTAATTTAGTAGTTGCCTAAAATGTAGACCAATTAGGCCGTTGTTTCCTTAATCACATTTTAAATTAAAAAAAAAAAGATTGATTTTATTATCTTTAGTTCCTTCCTTTGAAATTTTTTTTTACTAGAAGAAAGGACGCAAGCATTTTTAAGCATGTACTGTGTGCTAGGAATTGTGCTTAGCTGTTTGCATTTGATTCTCATAATAACTCTGGGAAGGTAGGTGTTCTGATAATTCCCATTTTACAGTTGAGGAAACTGAGGCAGACAAAGGTTATGTGATTTGCTCAGGGTCACATGGGTAGTACGTATCAAGGCCAGATTTGAATTCAAGTCTTTCTGACTCTAGTGCAAGTGCTCTATCTACTGGACCATCTAACTGGGGAAAAGAATGACTATTCCAGTCACATGTCTTCATAGTTTGAAGATATACTCAGTGTTTCAGTTCTCCAAAAAACCAAATATTTTAGTCATATCATTTTGTACTTTTACTAATAACTCTCCATTATTATTTGCTTTTCAAATTCTGTTAAAGATCTCCGGAAACAGGCCCGACAGCTTGAAAATGAACTTGATCTGAAACTGGTTTCCTTCAGTAAACTGTGCACAAGTTATAGTCACAGTAATGCCCGAGATGGAAGACGCGACAGGTATAGGTACTACCAAAATCTCTCTTTTGCCTTACATTGTTTAATATGTTTTACGTTTTTGCTTTAAACAAAACAAAATATTTACTTCTTTATGGTTTAGATTTTATTAGTTCACATTCAGTCTGTCCTTCTTGAATTTATTTTCTTTTTAGTAATTCATTAAAAGCATTTCTTTGAATCCTCAAAGGTTTTGCATTAGGGAAAATTTGTGTGCAGGGCTTGTGACAGTGTAGGTAGAGAAATGCCAGTGCTTAAGAGTGTGGAATTTGGAGAAGAGCTAGATGGCACGGTGGGTAGAACACTGGCCCTGAAATCAGGAGGACCTGAGTTCAAATCCGGCCTCAGACCAAACACTCGATGCTTATTAGCTGTGTGACCCTAGGCAAGTCACTTAATCCCAATTGCCTTGAAAAAAAAAAAGAGTATGGAATTTGATTGAAAGATGGAGTTCCAAGGGGTGGAGCCAAGATGGCAGCGTGAAAGCAGTGACTTGCTTGAGTTCTCCCCCAAACCCCTCCAAATACCCATAAAAAAATGGCTCTAAACAAATTCTAAAGCAACAGAACCCACAAAAAGACAGAGTAAAACAAATTTCCAGCCCAAGACAGCCTGGATGGTTGATCGGAAAGGCATATTGCGCCGGGCGTGCAGAGGAGCACAGGCCACAGCGAACCTAGAGCAGGCCTCAGAGGACTGAATTACAGGCAGCTGTGGTGGCTTCCAGACTCCTCAATCACAAACACCAAAGACAACTTAGAAGGTCAGTGGGAAAAGTCTGTTTTTGTGGTGAAAGAAGAGCTAGGTCAGAGCCAGTTCCAGAGCGCAGAGCACGGGTGCTGGGGCGGTGGCTGTGTCCTGAGCTTCTGGCCCACAGACTGAGGGGGAATCAGGTGGCTGATCAGAGGGGGACTGCAGGGATCTCTTTGCTGGTGCTGAGGCAGGAATCTCTTGCTTTGCCTGTGCTTGGATCCGGGTCACAGTTCTGGATGGCGGTCCTGGGATGAGGAGGAGTGCTGGCGCGGTGGAGCTTGTGGTGGCAGTGGAGAGGAAACCCTCCTTACAGTTCCAAGAGAGAAAAGACTGCTTGTGGCCGGTCACTCAGAGACCAGAGCTCAGGCCAGGAAAAGAGTAAACACCTCAACCCTTATCATACCACCTTGGAAGAACTGAAAATTTACAGGTCCCTACAGGTATCTCTGAAAACAGCTATACAAACCCCCGAAGCTTGGGACAGTACATTCACCGCATTGGAAGCAGACTTTTACCTTAACAAAGAGTTTAAAACTCAAGTAGTTGGCTGGGATCATGAGCAAACCTCAAAAAGAGTCAGACTATAATCTTACTTTGGTGAAAAGAAGATCAAAATACAACCAGAAGAAGACAACAAAGTCAAAGCTCCACATCCAAAGCCTCCAAGAAAAATATGAATCAGTCCAGGCCTTGGAAGAGCTCAAAAGGGATTTTGAGAAGCAAGTAAGGGAAGTAGAGGAAAAACTGGGAAGAGAAATGAAAGTGATGCAAGAAAATCATGAAAAACAAGTCAACAGCTTGCTAAAGGAGACCCAAAAAAATACTGAAGAAAATAACACCTTAAAAAATAGCCTAACCCAAATGGCAAAAGAGGTCCAAAAAGCCAATGAGGAGAAAATGCCCTAAAAAGAAAATTGGCCAAATGGAAAAGGAAGTCCAAAAGCTTACTGAAGAAAATACTTCCTTAAAAATTAGAATAGAGCAATTGGAAGATAGTGACTTTATGAGAAATCAAGACAGTAGAACAAATCCAAAAGAATGAAAAATTAGAAAACAATGTGAAATATCTCATTGGAAAAACAACTGACCTGGAAAATAGATCCAGGAGAGAGAATTTAAAAATTATTGGACTATCTGAAAGCCATGATCAAAAAAAGAGCCTAGACATCATCTTTCAAGAAATTATCAAGGAAAACTGCCCTGATATTTAGAACCAGAGGGCAAAATAGAAATTGAAAGAATCCACAGATCTCCTCCTGAAAGAGATCCCCAAAGGAAAACTCCTAGGAATATTGTAGCCAAATTCCAGAGTTCCCAGGTCAAGGAGAAAATATTACAAGCTGCCAGAAAGAAACAGAATTCAAGTATGTGGAAACACAATCAGGATAACACAAGATTTAGCAGCTTCTACATTAAGGACCAGGGCATGGAATATAATATTCCAGAGGCCAAAGGAGATAGGATTACAACCAAGAATCACCTACCCAGCAAAACTGAGTATAATCCTTCAGGGGAAAAAATGGTCATTCAGTGAAATAGAGGACTTTCAAGCATTCTTGATGAAAAGACCAGAGCTGAATAGAAAATTTGACTTTCAAATACAAGACTCAAGTGGAACATGAAGAGGTAAACAGGAAAGAGAGATCATAAGAGACTTACTAAGATTGAACTGTTTACATTCCTGCATGGAAAGATGATATTTATAACTCATGAGACCTTTGTCAGTATTAGGGTAGTTGGAAAAAAATTATATGTATGTATAGGTAGATAGATAGATAGATAGATAGATAGATAGATAGATAGATAGATAGATAGAGGGCACAGGGTGAGTTGAAGATGAAGGGGTCATATCTGGAGAATAAAATTAAGGGATGAGAGAGGATGATACTCGGAGAAGAAGAAAGGGAGAGGTAGAATGGGGTAAATTATCTCACAAAAAAACCAAACAAACCAGAAAAGAAAAGTCTCTTACAGTGGAGGGGAAGCAGGGGAAGGTGAGAGGGAATGAGGAAATCTTATTCTCACAGGATTTGGCTTAAGGAGGGAATAACATACACATTCAATTTGGTATGGAAACTGTCTTACCCTACAGGAAAATAGGGGGAGAAGGGGACAAGAGAGCAGGGGAATAATAGAGAGGAGGGCAGATTGGGAAAGGAGTAATCAGAAGGAAGTATTTCTGAGGAGGGACAGGGTCAAAAGAAAGAATAGAATAAATGGGGGGGGGCGCGGATAGGATTAAGGGAAATAGAGTTAGTTTTTCACAACATGTCTAATATGGAAGCGTTTTGCATAACCGCATATGTATGGCCTGTATTGACTTGCTTGCCTTTTCAGTGAGGGTGGGAGGAAGGGAGAACATTTGGAACCCAAAGTTTTTAAAAATACATGTTTAAAAAAAATGTTTTCACATGCAACTGAGAAATAAGAAATACAAGAAATGAGGTACAGAAATCTGTCCTGCCCTACAGGAAAATAGAAGGGGAAGGGGATAAGAGAAGGGGTGGGAGAAATAGAAGGGAGGGCGACTAGGGGAAGGGCTATTCAGAATGCATGCCATCGTGGGGTGGGGGAGGGGCAAGATGGGGTGAAAATATGGAATTCAAAATCTTGTGTAAGTAAATGTTGAAAACTAAAAATAAATTTATATTAAAAAAAAGAAAGATGGAATTCCTCCTTCAGGCAGAATAAGGCTGTGTATCAGTCTAGTCTGTAGATTTCCTTTCTTTTTCCCTTAGAAATGTTTTACTGATTTTTTTTTAACATCATTGTCATTTCCCATGGATAACCCTTCTGTCCTCTGCCCTGATAGAGCCGTCCTCTATAATAAATAAGTATAATTAAGGGAACCAAATCAATGCATTGGCCGTGTTTGAAAATACATTCCTTATTCCATGCCCTTAGTCTACTGCTCCTTGCCAAGAGGTGGGGGCCAGTCGTCAGCATTAGTCTTCTGAATTGTCCGTTTTTAGGAAGGATCTATCCTTACTCAAAGCAAACATACTGTGCTCTTTCCATGGACTTAGAAATCACAGAGTTTTCAGGCAGGTAGTAAGGGGGCTCTGGGACCATCTGGTCCACCCCATAGAAGAAAGGGACTCCCACTGTAACATGCCTGACAAGTGGTTGGCCAGCCTCTGTTTGGAGCCCTCCTTTGAGGGAAACTGCTCCCTGCTAACATGGCCTATCCACTGGGGGACAGCTCCACTTTTTAAGAGGTTCTTCCTGGCATCAGACCTAAATTTTCCTCTTCATGACTTCCGCCTGTTGCATCTGGTTCTACCTTCTGGGGTCTAACTGGACGGCTCTCTTCCCTCCTGTATGACAGCCCTTCAAATACTGAAGACAGCTATCCTGTACACCCTGGGTCTTTCATGCTCCAGACTAAACATGCCCAGTTCCTTCAACTGGCCTTCTGGTGATAATGCACTCACAAAGCTTTTCACAGCCCTTGCTGCTCTTCTGTGGACACTGCCTAGCTTATCAATATGCTTCTTAAAATGTAGCATCCAGAGTTGAATACGGTACTCCAGGAGAAGCCTAATGAAGTCTGTCTAGTAGGATTCTCCCTTTTCCTGGAAGCCATCCTCTTCTTCATGCAGCTAAAGTCTCACTAGCTTTGGGGGCTGCCCCATCACACTGCTGACTCTTATCAGACTTTCAGTCCACTAAAGCCCCCAGATCTTTTTCAGAATAACTGCCCTTTCCACATGTCCTCCATTTTACACTTGAGTAGTTGATTTTTTTGTGTGTGTTCAAATGCAAGAATTTTCCATTTATCCTTGTTGAATTTCATCTTATGTTCAGTCCAGTGTTTCTCAAGTTCTTTTTGGACCTTGCCTCTGGCATCCATTAGGTTAGCTCTCCCTCCCAGTTCTGCATCATTTCTAGATTTGATGAGCCTCTGTCCATTTAGTGCTATGGCTGAAGGCATCTTATGCCTCTGTCCAGGTCATGAATAAAAATGATGAATAGCACGAGGCTGAGTGCAGATCCCTGGAGCCATCCTAACCATTTTCAGCTTTTCTTTGAGTCTTGTCATTTAACCAGTTGTGGATCCATCTAAACTTCTTGTCAGCTAGTCCACTTATCCCTATCTTCTCAACAAGAATAGCGTGAGATGGTTTATTAAAAGCTTTGCTAAAAAGCTAAGTGAACGCTAACCATCGCATACCCTCATTACAGTTTAGCAGTCCTGTCAGAAAAGGAAATGAAGTTAATCTGGCCTGACCTGCCCTAGATGGAGCCAAGTTGGCTCTGTCATCACTGTGGCTTTCTTTTGTAGCTGTTCACCAACCATCTCTTTAATGGTGCCAGGCCCATCTCCAGTCCTCCTGATCTATATCTGACTGCTGGGGCTTCGGAGGAGAAAGTGAGGCTGGTGACTTTGCACGGCCCTCCCTCACTTAAATCCAATTCACTTTTAAGTCATGGAATCACCTCCAGAATGAAAGACAAACAACAGCTTTAATGAAGTGATCTGGAATTTTATCAGGAGTGGCCTAGAGTTTTCAGATTTTGTACTCGTCCTGTTTTTGAAAATTGGGACATTTACGCTTCTCAAATTTTGTAGGCCCTCTCCTGCTTTCCATGATCTTTCACATGTCACTGACTCTTAACTCAGCTGTGCACTTAAATGTGGGTCCTGAAGGGATGGGCCCAGTGACTTGGGTTCAAGGGCAGCCGAGTTTTCTCACCATCTTCTTACTTGTATTCTACATCAACTCTAGCTCAGTCATTTCTAGGGTAAAAGTCATTCTTCTTTGCAGAGAAAACAGAAAAGGAATTGGACAACTCTGCCATCTCTCTGTTGCCAGCTGTCTTCCTCCCACCCACCCTGAGCCGAGGTCCTCTCCCTTCTTGGAACCATCTCCTCCTTCTCTCTGGGCAGCCAGAGAAAAGGTGCCTTTGTGTTGTCTTAGAGTTGTCCTGACGTGCTGTTATCCTCTTTGTTGGAATACTGGAACTCTTCTGTGGCTGAGCTGTTGGGAGAGGAACCTTGCCATCCCCTTTCTGGCTTTGGGCACCTGTTTGGTTTGGGTGTTAAGGTGTTTTTCAGACATTTTAGCCAGTGCTCCATTTTGCCTCTGTAGCGTAAGTATTCATTTTTAGTAGGTGTCTATAGGTTATATTGGCATTCTTGTGCATTATTGTTAAAACATAACCAAACTCAGAAATTTGTTTCTTGTATGGTTATTAGAAATATGACAGTCATGTGTACTTTTGGAAAGTGAATTTCTAACAATGCTCAGATTTGTTGTCCTTTAACTAGTTTCTTTATTGGGATGGATTATATGTCAGGAAAAGTGCATTTAAGGTTCAGTAATATGAAGAAACCCCCACTGTAATGTCATTTGGTCACTCAATCAGTTGTTCCGTGGAATTAATGGACCCTCTGAGACACTGCTTCAGCTAAGACTGTCTTTTTCATGGAACCAGTAAATAGAGTTGTTTGGAATATTCTGATGTAGGTAGCAGTTCTGAAGTAATAACTTGAGGGGCCCTAAAGTAACTTAGCATACTATAGACTTCACTGAGGCTCACTGCTCTGTGTCTTCATGGGCACTTAACCAGAATGAACATAGTGAAAAGACTGTGATGTCTTCCTTTCTAATAGGGAGCTGTATTTATGCCAGGAAATAAGTTATCCCTGAATTAGTTCTTATATTTGACTCTGCAGGACTACATGTAAAATTCTTTTATCTCTTAATTATCAGCTGATACTCTGCTATAGTGCTTTATTTAAGTTTTTCTGAGCTTTAAAATGATTTATTTAAAATTTAAAATGACATATAGTAAAATCTCAGTGTAGCTGCTCAGGAGTAATTGCCTTGAAAGCATCCTCATATAAAGATTGAAGCAGAGTGCAAATTTCTTTGTAGAGTTAGCAGAAAATGATTTTTTTTAAAAGCCAAGGCTTTGGTCCAGTTTGGAAGTCCAGTCTGAAACATCTGTTGGCTCCCCATATTGAAGGCTGTCCCTGAATACTGCTACTGTGACAAAATTTGGAATGGCTGTTTTTTTTCCCTCCAGGAATATTTTTCCATGTTGGCTGGCACCTTAAGCTGTGGGGCTCTTGGCACATCTATGGCATATAGGTTGGTTCTTGGTTCCCTTTTTTGAGGCCTGTGTGCCCTGCTGAGTAATGGTTCCTGTCAGTGGCTATTGGCAGTTCTCTAATCCTCATAGTTTGTTGCTTTTTTCTACACCTTAGGGCTCCAGGGCACTGTGCTGAGCTCTAGGAATAGGAAGAAAGGTAAACACAGTCCCTGCCATCAAGGAGCTCTTGTACTATTGGGAGGCACTGTGTAAATTAGGAATTAGGGAGGAGCTATGAGCTATGCATGGCAGGGGGCGAGGGGTGTGTGAGGGGCCTGGTGGTGGTGCAGTATTTGGAGGGAAGTTGCTAAGAGCTATAGGTTCCTGCAGAAGGTGGGATTTGAGCCGACCCTTGAAGGACGCCTGGGGGGCCAGTGAGAAGGGGCAGAGTGAGGAGCAGCCAGGAAGCCAGGGTCTCTGCATGGAGGGGAGTCAAATGTGAGAAGACTGGAAAGGAAGGAAAGGGCCAAGTCATGAAGGGCTTTAAATGGCAAACAGAGAATTTTAGATTTGATTCTAAGGAGCCCCTGGACTTTATTGACCGGTGGGTATAGAGGTGCATGTTTGGCGTGGTAGGGAGGATTGCTACGATGAGAACCTTGGTCGGCAGACGAGTTATTTTGTCTAGACCTGTGAATTCTTTGGGGTAGAGAACTTCTAGCATAGAAACTCATTCTGCCAATGCATAAGAGTTGCTTTGTAGCATTAAGAGTTTAAATGACTTGCCTAGGTTTACATAGCTAGTATATACTGGAGGCAGGGCTCAAACCTTTGTCTTCCTGCCTCCGATGGCCCCTTGCCCATTTTATGCTTAAAAACAGTTCTCCATTCTTACTTGAGAACCTTCTAAACCTCTTGCCACCCCTCATCTCTTTTGGCATCAACTTTGTTTATTTCATATCTTGTTGGTAACTTGTCACTTGGCCATGGAAAGGATGTAGACTTGAGAATGAACTGTTTAAAAATTTACTAAAACTTTAGGTTTTATTATTATTATTGTTGTTATTATTATTATTATTTTGGCTAGGCAGTGGGGTTAAGTGACTTGCCCAGGGTCACACAGCTAGTAAAGTGTTATGTGTCTGAGGCCGAATTTGAACTCAAGTCCTCCAGAGTCCAGGGTCGGTGCTCTATCCATTGTGCCACCTAGCTGCCCCAGAGATTTTTTTAAAGGAGGAAACAGACCCAGAGATAGAGAGTGATTTGCCTGAGGTACACAAGTAGCTAATGGTGGAGCTCAGTATAAAACCTGGGTCACCAGATATCTGGTTTTATGTTCTTTCCATCACTCTGTATTCATTCTTAAAATCTGGAAATTTGTCTTTTGCAAACTATTTTAGGAATAAGGAAGTGATTTCCTATTTATGTTCAGATTTAACTTTCACTTGTTTCTTTTTTGGGATAGAGCATGTATCAGATTAAATGTGTTAAAGAGATCGTTATTGCTATTTGTTTTGTTCCTTTAGAAACCAATAAAACATTACTTTTCTGAGTACTTGAGTTAACATGATTTGCATCTTGTTTGCACAGTTTAATTTTGTAGAATTTTTTGTTTCTTTGAAGCCAGAGTTGAACTAGATATTGCCATGGCTTTAGTTATTTCCTGGCTTTGCAAATGTTGAAAATTTTAAGTTTTTCTTTTAAGTGGTTTTATAATACATATTGACTGTTGACAAATGAGTGAGAATCTTTTTAGATTATGGCTAAAATTTGCATAGATTTGCGTTGGATTTATTCAGAGTTCAGAAGTCAAAGTATTGTGGTGTAAGTTAGGTATGAGTCTTATGGAAAAAGCTAATTTAGAAAATTTAGTTCAAAAGAAAAAGAGCACATTACAGTAATTATGCTTGAGTTCTTTGTAAACTGTTATTATATAACTTGGCTGGTACCGGAAGTAATGGGTTCCCTTTAATTTAATATTGCTTTAGTTCTGACACAACACCCCTTTTAAACGGATCAAGCCAAGACAGAATGTTTGAAACAATGGCTGTGGAAATTGAGCAGCTCTTGGCAAGGGTAAGTGCTATTTAAAATCGTCTTATCTTTTTTTTTCTGATAGCAAGTTAGCCATTTATTGTATTACTTCAGACAGGTGACATTTGCTGCAGTTGTTGCCAGCTTTCCCATTGCCATGTTAGATTTTTTTTTATGTGTTAACGTTGGATGACAGTGACCTAACTCCATCCGCCTCCCTCTCCCCATGTGTTACCCCTGTTTCCTGCGCTGTGGCATGTAGTAGAGAGGGCAGACAGAGAAGCAGTGTGACTTTGGTGCCATGGGTCTGTTCACATATTCTGAAATGCCTCGTTTAACGCCCTGTCCTTTTGTGTAGCTTACAGGAGTAAATGACAAGATGGCAGAGTACACAAACAGTGCTGGCGTCCCCTCCCTCAATGCCGCCCTCATGCACACGCTGCAGCGACACCGAGACATCTTGCAGGTAACTCGGTGCCTCACACTTTCCCATTAAATATTCTTCACAAGAGTTTAAAACAATTCAAGGCAGGGAAGCTGCCCTTGTGATTCACTTTTTTTTTTTTAAAGGAAAGAACTTTCTGAGCAGAGTTTTTCACTTTGTTGTAGGACAGCTTCTCAACATGTCTTTTTTCAAAGTACGTTCTGAAAAGGGCTCTTGACTATTGCAATTGTCTTATGAAACTGAGGACTGGTTAATAAGAGGCATAATCTAGGTCTAGGTTAATTAATTCTAGGGAATTAATTAATTACCTAGTGTTTTCATTGGCTTACCAGCTGTGATCAAGGAGTTATGGCCAGTGGGAGAAGGATGCTCAGGAGACAGAAGAGACTTTTTATAGTATGTTCGGCCACCTTATTTTGAGCCCATCTGACAAAATTCTAGATTTTTGAAGAAAGATAAATTAGGAAAGAGTTACTTACTATTGAAAAGAATTCTTTCCTTGAGCTATAAACTATCCTCTCTCTGCACTCTTTTGGTGACCTTATCAGCTCACATGAGATTAGTTATCATCTCTAAGGTGATGATCCATTTTTAGGCTCTTGCTGAACTTCAGGCCTGCAGTGCCGCTTACCTGTCGGATACATCAGGCTGAATGTCCCGTAGACATGCCAAACTCAGCATGTCTAAAATGGAACCTGTTATTGTTCCCCCCATACCTAACACTTGTGAATTTCCCTGTTCCTAGTGAGAATGTCAGTCAGTCAGTTGACAAGTAGGCACAGTGTTGGTACTGGGGGTATAAAGATAAAAATGAAACCATTACTGCTCTTTATGTAACTTCCAGTCTAGTCACGGGAGGGGTGTGTGTGGACAGAGTGAAAAGGGATTTAGGAAGCAGACACAGAGTGATTTGAGCAGCTGGGAGAGAACCAGGAAGGAGCTCTTCCAGAAAGTGTCATCTGAGCTCAGCCTTGAAGGAAAGAAGGGATTCTAAGGAGGTGGCGTGAGGGACAGCGAAGGCAAAGACCCAGGGGAGACAGATGGGGAAACAGAAGAGGCCGGTTTGGCTGAACTCTAGTGACTGGGAAGGGTCATAAGACGGAAAAGGGAAGTTTGGGCCAGTCTGTGAGGAGCTGTAAGTGGCAAGTAGAAGATTTTTTATTCTTAGAATATTAGGGAATCCTTGGAATTTATTGAGTAGACAAATGGCACGGCCATATATTTGATAAAGAAAGATCACTTTGGCAGCTGTGTCCAGTCTCAGTGGCTCTAGTGGAGTGGCTAGAGACTTGAGGCAGAAATGCCGATTAAGAGACTGTTGTAGTGGTCCAGAGTAGAGTTAGTGAGGGCCCAAGTGAGCTTAGTGGTCGTGTTAGTGTGAGAAGGGCATGTGTTTCTTTGTGATGTGAAAATTGTAGTGATAGGAATGACGAGATTTATTAACTGATTGAGTATGTGGTGTGAGTAAGACTGAGGGGTGGAGGAGGACACCAGGATCAAGAATCTGGGTGACTAGTGAGATGGTAGCCCCTAGGCAGACATAGGGAAATTTAGAAGAGGAGTGGGGTTGGGGAAAAGATGATTGATGAGTTCTGCTTTAGACATATTGAATTTGAGGCTTCTATGGGACATGCAGTTCGAAATGGCCAATGGGCAGTTGGTGATATGAAACCAGAGCTTGGGAGAGACTAGGGCTGGATTTATAGATCTGAGTGTCAGTGCACAGGTGCTTGTTAAACCCAGGGAGCTAATGAGATCACTGAAAGAAAGACCATATGAAAGAAGAGGGTTAGGGTGTGATCTGGAAGTTAAGCCAGCAGAGTAGACTTATGAAGAGAGCTAGACAGATAGGAGACCCAAGAGTGATATTGAAAGGGGAGAGAGGAAAAGTATCCAGAAGGAGGGGTGGTCACTAGTGTCAGATGTTCCCGAGAAGGCGAGAAGGATAAGGATTGAGGAAAGGCCTTCAGAGATTTGATACTTATTGTGAACTTCACTGGGGGAGGTGGGACGTGGATTTTAATTTTTACTCTGTAAGACTGAAAAAAAGAAAAACCAATCCCTCCTGGGCGTTACCAGAAGTACAGAGAAACTCGATTTACATTTTGGCTTCAATATGATCTTTTAAAAAACTTTATTTTTTGTTATTCTGAACTTAGAAAACACCAACAAACATTTTGATATACAAAGAATAGAAATTAAGAGATTCATGAAGCCACAAAACTCTGCTACATACAGCATGTGTCTTGAAGTGTACAATCAGTTCAGCGGTTAACTTCAAAGCTGTCCTGCCCTTCTGTCTTCTTCTGAATTTCCTTCTGTTTTGTGTCTTTTTAAAAAATGCTTCCCTAATACTCCTTTTTTTAGCCTCACTGTCACCAAACGTCTCCCTGCCCTCAAAAACACTGTTGGTAGCAAATAAGCATAACCAATGAGAACACCCCCAGCCATCGTCCATGTCAGATGTATGTCTCATTTTGTCTCCCTGGACTATCAGCTCTCTGTCAGGAGATGGGCTAGTGTGCCTCATCGTCCTTCCTTTGACATTGTAGTTGAGTATTGCATTGTCACAGTTCTTAAGTCTTTCAAACTTGTTTTTCTTTACAGTGTTGACATTGTATAAAATCTCCTGGTCTGCTCATCTGACTCTGCATTAGTTTATTAAAGTCTTCCCATGTTTTCTCAGTCTTTTTGTTGTTTCTTATGATGCAGCAGTATTCCTTTACATTCACGTGAGAGGCGTGACTAGAGGAGAGGCCAAGAACACCTTGGTTCAGGTTCTAGCTCTGCCACACCCTGGCTGTACCACCTGTCACTTAGCCTCTTTGTATTCTGTGCAGCCCCCTGAGACTGCAAATTGCAGAAAAGATCATGGCTTACCTTAGTCAAGGGAGTTTCCTTGCCGGGGAGTTCTCTCTACCAATGAAGCCACTGCATTCGTGGACTATAATTTGCTCAGCTTTTTCCCAATTGATGGGTACCCCCTTTGTTTCCACTCCCTTCGGACACTGACCTGAACGTTTTTGTACAACCTTTCCCTTTTTCTTTGATCTCTTTGGTGCTGAGACTAATAGTGGTATTGTTGGGTCCCAAGGTATACATAGTTAGTGACTTTTTGGGTATACTTCCAAATTGCTTCCCAAATAACTGGACCAACTCACAAGTCTGCCGTAACTACATTATTAGTGTGTCTGTCCTCCCCATATTCCCTTCAACGTCTGTCATTTTTCATTTTTGTCATCTTTGCTAGCTTTAGGAGCGTGAGGTAAAATCTCATGGTGGTTTTAATTTGCATTTCTCTTATTGTAAGTGACTGAGCATTTTTATATGATTGTGTTAACAGGATTTTACTGAGCCAGCCTCTAACCTGGGGATAGTGCAAACCGCACAAAGCCGGCCTAGATACAGGAGTGCCAGTAATCAAGTAGTGCTTTGATTAATCAGTTTCAGAGTGAGGAATGTTCTCCAAGCCGGAGTGAAAGCACAGCTCATGTGGCAGAGGACGAGGGGAAGGTGGATTACAGATAATCGTTCTCCAGGGCCTGAGAGGCTTCCCTCGGCAAGCCCATAAATACACGATACACCAGTTCTTTGATTGTTTCACATTTTGAGGGTCATTACTTGGTGGGTCATAGAACTAGAGATCTGTGACAGGAACAGTTTCTACAATCTTGATTCGCTTCCCTTAATGTACACTGGCACAAGAATGCAGTGGTCGTGAGAGCCTTGTCAGAGGTTTGATTGATCATTTCAAGCTGCGTTGTAAGTCTGACTCCCAAGCCAAAGTCTCCTGAGAAATCTAAATTATTAGTATATCCATTGCACATATCTTATTGATTAATACATAAATCATAATTCCCTTCATAATTGATAGCTTGAATTTCTTTTTTGAGTGTTACCTGTTCATATCCTTTGGTCATTTATCTATTAGAGAATGTCTTTTGTTCTTAAATATTTGAATCAGATCCTGTATGTCTTGAATATAGACATTTTTCTGAGAAACTTGCTGTAAAGATTTTTTTCCCCAATTCTTTCACTTTTGATTTTAACTGCATTGATTTTGTTTGTGTGAAGTCTTTTCAGTTCCTTTGGTATACTCTTCTTTGTCTGGTCAAGAGATTTTCCTCTCTCCGTAGTTGCTAAGGTATCTCTCTCCCTGCTCCTGTATTGTTCATCATTAACCTTTGAGAAGGCAGTTTCAGTTAAGTGAGATGGTTGGAAGCACAGTCCATGACTGGGGAGTGAATTGGAGGCAACTGTTAGCAACTGCTTTTTCTGGGAGTTTGGCTGAGCAAGGGAAGAGTGGTTTAGGATAACAGGTTGTGAGGAATGGTAGGGTCTAGTGAAGGTTGTTAGGATGATGAAGAGAGTTCTGCATGTTTGTAGACAGTAGGGAAAGAACCACTTGAGATAGGGAGAGATTGAATATTGGGGGAAATGGTGATGAAGTGATCACCAGAGAGGACAGAAGGATATGGGAGTAAGGCTGCATGTAGAGAGGTTGGCCTTGGCAAGGAGGAGAGCCGTCTTCTTATCAGATATTGGAATAAAGGAGGCAAGAATAGGGGATAATGTCGTGGAGTTGTGAAATGTAGGGAAAAGGAGAAGAGCGAGCTGGTGATGTATTTTCTCAGTAAAGTATAAAGCTTTGTTTCACAGCTAGATGGTTCTGGGGAAAGGGAGGTAGAGGAGTCTGGAGAGAAGAGAAGATTTAGAACAGTCTCTTTGGGGAGTAGGATGAAGAATCACCAAGGGACTAGAAAGGGTAACAGATATAACCCGCACTTTTATGGGACTTTAGGAGCAGAGGGTATGGATGGTAGGAGTAATACGGGGGTTGGGATTGGGCAAGATGCAGTGATGGCAGGACACGAGGAAGCAAGGGAGCTGGCAGTGGAGGACCCTGGTATTTTAAGCTGGCTAGCTGAAGGGTAGAGATTGAAAAAGAGGAAAGTGAAGAGGGTGCAGGGGTGGTGATCCAGGTGAGTAATGAGTTATTTAGTAGTTGTAGATCTTGGTAAGGACGAATCTGGTCGTCTGGGTTCACAACCTTAGTGTCTTCCTCAGCTTCTTGCTCTCACACCATACATCCATTTCTTCCTGTACAACATTTTTCAGATCTGTCCACCTCTTTCATCACACACAGCTACTGCCCTTGTGCAGGTCCTTGTTGCTCCTTTCCTGGACTTTTTCAGGAGCCTCCTAATTGGGCCTCCTGTCTCAGGCTTTACCCCACTCCAGTCTGTCCTCCACGTAGCAGCTAAAGTGATTTTTTCCTTAAGGTCATGTTTGACTGTGTTACTCTTTTTTTTTTTCCCCACTAGGCAGTGGGGTTAAGTGACTTGCCCAGGGTCACACAGCTAGTGAGTATTATGTGTCTGAGGCCAGATTTGAACTCAGGTCCTCCTGACTGCAGGGCTGGTACTCTATCCACTGAGCCACCTGGCTGCCCTTGTGTTATGCTTTTATTACATAAACTCCAGTGGCTCTCTGTTGCTTCAAGGATCAAATGTAAACACCTCTGTTTGGCATTTTACAGCTCTTCACAGCATGGCCCCCATCTGTCTTTTCAGCCTTATTATACAGTACTTCCCTGTACCATCCTTCCCGTTTCCTTGCTTTATAACTTTAGCATAGTTTTCTATTTTCTGCTGTCCTTCTTCCCCACCCCCAGATCCAGGCAGTTTACAAACCTTGCTGCCATTTCTGTTTATCCATGTCTTGAAATTGACCCCTCTCTATTCACACAGCTGCCGTCTTAGTTCGTGCCCTCATCACTTCTTGCCTAGGTTATTGTAGCAGCCTTCTGATGGCTCTCCTTGTCTCAAGTCTCTCCCTACTTCAGTCCATCCTACCCACTGCCACCAAAGCATAGGGATGACCTTGTTACTTGTCTCCATTCCACTCTGGTGGATCCCTATTAAAGTCCTTAGCAGCCCTGCCCCAGCCTGTGTTCCGACCTCCTTGTTTCATTCCAGCCCACATTACTTCCACCTCTGGCACCCTGAGACCAGCCAAACTCTGTTACCAGTGCAGTACTCCGTTTCTTCTCTCCGTGACTTTGTACTGTCCATCCTTCGTGCCTGGAGCGTATGTATGCCTTTGTTAAACCTACCTTGAGCACCACCTTTGGCATGAGCCTTTCCTGATTTCCTCTACCAAGCTGTTTTGTATTTATTTGTCTTTCATTTCTTTAGATTTCTTCTGTATTTCCTTCTGTGTGCATTTGTCTTCCCCATTAGAATGTCAGTTCTTTGTAATTAAAGATTGTCTGATTCATTGTATTTGTATCCCTAGCATCTAGCACAGTGCCTGTCCCATAGCATGTGCTTAATAAATGTTTGCTTGATCGAAGTCATTTCAGTTCTGGGCCTCAGTAGCCTCCTCTAAAGTGAGTTGGTTGGGTTTAGATGATCTCCAAGGTTCCTTCAAGATTTAATATAAAAGATTATTGATCTTAAGCTTCCTTTACATTGTTATTGATAGTGGATTTTTAAATGATTTGCTTTTGAAAAATTCATTTTACACATAACTTTTCAGACATCCCAACCATTGAACAAAATGAGGCACCCATTGAGGGAAATAATTCTAATCTGGCAGTTTGACTGCTGCAGTCATTTAACACATTGTAAATTTTGTATGAGTAGAGATTGGACTGGTGAGATAGTTTTCTTTGTGTAGTACCAGGCGCTAAGGGACCACAATCGGTGTTCCTGCTTTTGAAAGATGATGGTAACAACATGGGAAGGTGATTCTTTGTTGTTGGCATATTTTTTGGAAAAACTACTTAAGATTCATCAAAAGTACAGAATAACTAAATTACATTTTTCTGTTAAGATGCCCAAGAATTTTAAATTCTTTGGGGAAGATGACTTTGAAATCTAAAGAAGCCCACAAATGAAGGGGCATGGTTTAATGTAGGTGACTTTGTTCCTTAAAGTTTTGTGGTAGGTTCTGTTCTCCTAGAGTTGCATGAGCATTTTACGTGAACTACATTTCTATGTGTGGCTTCTCTTATGAAATGAAATACATTCATGAAGGTACGGAATTTGAAAGTAAATCCCATCGGCTAAACTAATGAGCACATAGATGAATGTGGTACAACCACAAAAGTTGTGTTGGAACGTATAAGAAAAGTTCTTTTATCTTGGGGAAAAAATTGTTTGAATAATTCCAAATGTGTCAGTTAATTTTTCCCCAAATGACTTATGTGTTTACTATCACATAAAGTTAGCAGCTTCAGTAAACTTTGTGTAACACCGCCTCCCCCCAAACTTTATTGCTTGTTATTCAACACTTTAACTAGTGATAATTGTTTCATGTTGCTTCCCTTCATAACTATAAGGAAAATATAAGGAAATATACATATATGGAAAGCGAAAACTTACTGCATTAAGTATGGCTGATGAAAGAATAGCAAGTCTAGTGATTCCTATCCCTTGCTCCTTTTTTGCCTCTAAAATCTTACTTTCTAAAATTATGCTTGTTTAAAATTAATGTCAAGCTTTTTAAATGTGAAAGATTTAGGAACTATTCACCTGTGTAATTTATTTTTTAAAGTCTTGTTTTTATTATTAACGTAAACAAATAAGCTTTTTAGGGTTTGTCTTCTGATCACCAGTTGCTAAAGGTTGTATTGTCTCAAAATGAATAATGTTTTTAAAATCATAATGTTCACTTACTGATAGCTGCTACAGACAGCTGATAGCTCCTAACAGCTGCCCCAAAGTGTAATGGGTTGCTTTGGCAGTTAGTGATTTCCCCCCCCTTTGCAGTTCTTCAGGCAGAAACTGGGTGACTGCTTGTTAAATGTATTGGAAAGGGAACTCCTTTCCATATGAATGGACTGGATGGCTGTGGAGGTCCTGTCCAGCTCTGCAATTGTGCAGTTCTGTGATTCTTGAAATTAGATACTGATTACAGCAAATTTTTATAGAACAAAGCTCTTCCACATTTGTACCTTCTCTTGGGGGCCACCGTAGTAGTGCAGTCCTCTGAAAGCATTTCTTACATTTAATGAAATCATTTTGCAAGTGTTACTTAACTGGATGATTCTTGCTCTTTGGTATATTTTGCAATGTGGTTATTTAAATAGTTACTTTGACAGAAATTCATTTTGATTGAAGCACAGAAACTGTTTTATGTGGGAATATTATGTTGCTCTATTACAGGATTACACACATGAATTTCATAAAACCAAAGCAAATTTTTTGGCAATACGGGAAAGAGAGAACCTCATGGGATCAGTACGAAAGGATATTGAGTAAGTCATTATGCATATTTATATGAATATTTGTCAGGTTTTATCAAGTTATATAATAAAAACTCAAGCAACCTTTAATCCAATTTAGAAATTAAAAGAGAACCTTCAGGTGAATTTTATATTCAACATATTTGTAGAGTACACATTATGGTAATATAGCAGTATGTCTGTAGGCATATAAATTGGGGAGACTTAATTCCATTAGTGGGGATGCTTTTCAGCAAGGAGCTTAAACCGGGAATAGGTAGATGGCCAGATGAGAGACTGGAACCTTCATTAGCCTTGTTCTTCTGTCACAGAATTTCAAACAGTAGGTCTTTTAAGAGAAATTGCTACCTATTGACTTTTATCTTGTCCATTCTTAGTATTAATAAGGATAGCTATTTTCAGCAGCTGTCCTTATTGAGAACAGAGAAGACCTCTGATAATCTTTTCTTTAACTAGCATTGACAAATGTGTGCTAATCATTTCAATTAAGCTGCAGATCTGATCATTTTAGTTAAAACAATGCCTTATGGGAAACTCTTCTCATATGATCAATGTGTTGTAGGTACATGGTAGAATACAACAGGATCTTTTAGGGAAGACACTGCCATATTGTTCCATAGATTAGGATCTGCTTCTGCATAACCCGTGTCCAAAGTCCCATTCTTTGCTTTTTACTTATTCATTTGGTAGCAGTTAATTAGCTAGCATACTAGCTCAAAGCCCCCCAAAATGCTGTTTTTCTTTTGTTCTTTTCTAATAATGGACCAGAATAGGAAACACACACACATGAGCAATGACTTATGGGCAAAATTATACCTAAGTAGAATGTTTCTTTAGTACTTTTCATGGGGCTAGCTAAAGAAAGGAAATGCAGAATTAATAAAAGGCTAATTACTGGTACATATTATCACCCTGGAAAGCCATTTCCTCTGCACTCTCTGGTATTTCTAGGAGCTGCTCTGATTCAGCAGCTTTCAGGCCCTAATATAATAACTCCTCAATTATCATCATCACTAACTACAAATATTTGAATGTTTCTATTGTACTAGTTTCTGGGGAATAGAAAGGCATGCTAGACCCTTGAGGGGCTTAAAGTCTAATTTGGAAAGACACTGTAGAAGGGGGGGGAGGTACCTATATGTGCCCAGGTATCCATAAATAAGTATGTAAATATGTGTGAACATTTGAAACAGTAAGTACCGTAGGTGTTCAGAGAAAGGGGCCTGTCACCAAGGAGGGGCCAAGGCCTTAGCCAGAAGAAGAAGGAATTGTAGATGGGAGCTCAGTAGCTCAGCTGGAGGAATTCAGGAATCTGGGGAATGTAGAAGAGACCACTTTAGCTAAAATACAGAGTTTACATAAGAGAACAATGTGAATAACAGCATGAGAGTGTGATGGAGACAGTTCTAAGAGTAATTTGTTTTCACTGAGTGAATTTTGCAGGTAACTGAAGTTAACCCCATAATAAGGTTAAGTTTTTTTTAAAAAAAAGGAAAATCAAACCTTTAGATGAGCGTCTTTGTAAAAGTGGTACTTTTATAATTGTTGCTTCTGTATTTAGGTTACTTCCACATCTTATTTCCAGTTTCCACAGTAGCAATGCCCCCTTTGTAATAGGCCATCCCCACTACCCTCAAATGCAATAGATTGAAGCCAAGCTTTGCCGTAACAATTGTTTCTGACCTCCTGACATCCCAGTTTCTGTTATAATACTGCTGTTGTTTTCCTAGTCATCCTAGCTCAAAGTCTGATTGTTGTCCTTGACTTACCCTGCTTCCTCACCCCCTGTATCCACTGAGTTGTCAAATCTAATCGATTTGCACATGTCTCCTTTCATTCTCATTGACATTCCCAGCCCTCTCCATCCTAGTTCAGGCCAGGCCTTTATTCCCCTTGCTGAGACTCTTCCAATAGCCTCCCCACTGGCCTTCCTTTTATACTATCTTATAATGTTTAAAAAGCACCAGCTTCAACAAATGCTTATTAAGAATGCTCACGGTACAGAGAACTGGGCTGAGCCCCACAGGAAGTAGTACCCAGATGCATGTGTGATTATTATTGATGTGAGTGGCTCTCCTCCTGATGATGATCCCAGCTCACCCATGCTTGCCTGTTTTGTGCAACTCTTGTTCTTATCATCCCATAACTGGGTCTGCCCAGTGTGCTGAGGAGCCTTCTTTATGACCTCGAGAGGATACCTAGAGGGGGTATGTTGAGACATATGAAGTGCCAGTGGGACATCCAGGTAGAGGATATGTGAATATGGAGCACAAGAGAAAGGTGAGGGCAAGAGATACAGCCTTGGGAGTTGTCTGTACGGTAATGGTGGTTGCTTTTGTGGGTAGGAATTAGATCACTAAAGTGGAGAGTATAGAATGAAAAGAGAGAGGATGTAACCTTGGGGAACAGTATTAAGGGGTGGAAGTAACTAACAAGCCAACAGGGAAGGAAGAGTTAGATTTTTTTATAGGAATTGTTTGTTTTGTTTTTTCAGTTGCATGTAATGTTGCCCTAGAAATCTTTGAATAGATAACTTTTTGAAAAAAAAATATTTTTATTGATATCTTTTGTTCTTAGGACATCTATATTTTCTCTGTATTCCCCCTCTCCTTTCCAAAAGAGCTGTCACTTCTAACAAAAAATTTTTTAAAGAAAAAGAGGAATAAAAAAAATTATGCAAAACTTTTTTATATTTCTAAAAAAATCTGATGTCGGAGATCCCCTCCCCAAAGGAATAGAGGAAGATGTCCTTACATTTTTTTTCTTTGAGGCCAACATTACAATTTCTCATCGCTCAATTTTAATGATTTTGTGGACACTCTTCTAGTCATTATGCCTATTTTCTTGGTTCTGCTTACTTTGCCCTGCATCAGTTCATGTGGACTGTGCTCCTTTGGATTCATTGTGTTCCTTGTTTCTTACATCACAGTCATTGCATGACGTGCAGTTTGTTTAGCTGTACTTCAAGTGATGGGCATCAGCTTTGTTTCCAGTTCTTCGTTACCATGAAAAGTGCTGCTATCATTATTTTGGCATATATAGAGCCTTTTTATTAATGACCTCTTCAAGGTTTATTATGCCGCACGGTAGGGTCTCAGTCAGGATGTATGTAGGTGTCAGCCTCCTTATTAACATCATTCCAAATTGCTTTTTGTAATAAATGTACTCATTCATAGCTTTAGCAACGTTAGTACACGTATCTTTCTAAAACTCCTGCAACGTGAACTGTTCTTGTCTTTTGTTGATTTTGCCAATTTGTAAGGTATGAGATGAAACCTGTTGTTAATGGTGGTCATTAATAGTTTACAGATTTTAAAAAAATATTTCCCCCCAATTACATGTAAAAACAATTGTTAATGTTCTTTTTCCCCTCCCTGAGATGGTAAGCAGTTTATCAGATTAGATATGTGCAATCATGCAAAACATATTTCCATATTAGTCATGTTGAAAACTGAAACAGACCAAAAAAACAACCCACAAAAAACATAAGAAAGTGAAAAGTAGTGTGCTTCAGTCTACATCCAGAGTCCATCAGTTCTTTCTCTGGAGGCCGAGAGCATTTTTCATCATGCATCCTTTGGAATTGTCAAGGATCATTGTGTTGCTGAGAAGAGCCAAGTCATTCACAGTTGATCATCCTACAGCTCTTTAGGAGTCTTTCTCCTTATCCTTTGTCCACTTGTCTCTTAAAGAATGGCCTTGGTTTAACAAACATTTCTCTTAGCTGGCTATGTATCTTGGATACTAAAAACCCTTATCAGAGAGATTCATTCAGTACAAATATTTTTTCCTTATTTGACCACTCCTCTGTTATTCTAGATGGATTAAGATAAGAACATACAGGGTTTTGGGGAGGGTAGCGGTGGTAGTGGTGGTGGAAGGGGATTGTTTTTGCTATAACTTTTAGGATCTATTTCTAACAATGGAATTATTGGGTCAAAGGGTATCATTCTTTTTCACTGTAACTTTGCCTGTGTACAGCCAGACTCCTCACCAAAAGAGGCTCTGAGCTGCTGTGTCCATCAGCCTGTTCCTGCTTTTCCAGACTTGAGTTTTGCAAAGTTGTCTTAATTTGCATCTGTTAGAGGTTGAGCCTCTCTTCAAGTTATCTTTAACAGTTTGTGTTAATAATTGTTCATATCCTTTGACCTCTGATACATGTGCTCATCCAGCATTCATTGCATTATACCAACTTACCTTCGTGGTATGATCACACTCTGCCTCAGACTGGTTTGCAGTTGCCTGTACATACCCCTTCCTTTCTGTCTTTGCTTTTTCTGGTCTTTCCACCTCAGAGTTAGCAGTACCTGGATTCAAGTCTCTCCTCAGGCATCAGCCATGCGATCTGGGAATTCTTCAGACTATAAGCTTTAGCACCTGGTGATCTACATTGATGGAGGACATTCCTTACTGAGAGCTCCCTACACTGTTTAAATCACAGGTCTGACAAAGAAAAAAAGTCTGTCTTAGCTCTCTGAAATGGGGTCGCCAGAGCTGAACACAACCCTGGTTCTTTCACAGAGTTTTGAAGGACTTTCCTGGCCTCAAGTGGTTTCTTCTTTCTTTGAATTCCCATTGCAGTTGTCCCCGTTTGGCCTGTAAAGGCCTCCCCAGTATGGCTCAGACCCATCTCTCCAGCCTGATTTCCCAGCCCGCCCCTCATCTGCTCTGTGTTTAGCCACACTGGCCTGCTTACTGTTCTATATGTGGGACATTGTTCCCTCCGGGCCTACGCTCGGAATGTTCTCCTTTCTCATCTCCATCTTTGGAAATCTCTGGTTTCTCTCAAGGTTCGGCTGCAATGCCACTTAAGGCTTTTCCTCTTCCAGTTGTTGGTGCTTCTCCCCACCCCTGTTTGAAATTGTTTGCGTTGACTTAGCACATATGTTATTTCCCCCCTAAGAGAAGGGAAGCTGGAGGTCAGGGGCTGCTTTCATTCTTGTCTTTGTATCCAGCACCTCCCGCAGTGCCTAAGAGGCCTGCTCTTGGGGCCTGAGGAGCTTCTCAGAAGGATTAGATGTCCCAGTCAATGTTAAAGGCAGTCAGCCTCCTTTCTGTGTCTTAAGGGCTATGTGACTTGACATTTGACTCCTTAAGGGAGACGTTCCCCACCCTTCCTTCTTACAGGGGGCTGGTGGTACCTCTAATAAGGGTAGCCCCCTCACACTGAGGGCCAGGGCTACATGAGTCCAGAGCAGGACTTGGTGGTGCTTGGGAGCCTTGGCATTTTGTTCTTCAGGTCCTGGTGGCCCTGGGTCTGTGTTTCAGGTTAGCCTCCTAAGTGTAAGGGTTGTTGCAGCTCTCCCATGGGAGCAGCTCAGGTATTTTATAATGAAGAATAGTCTCTTCATTTAGGTCTGATTGGTTTCCCTCCCGTGAGGTCACAGGCAGGGAGATACCAATCATCTAGGAAACTGGAAGTTTGTAGTCTAGAACAGAAGATGACATATTTGGGAGAAGCAAATGTCCAAGGAAGGAGCTACCAGGGAGGAAGAAGCCCAGGGAAGCAGCTGCTGTCTAGGAGAGCCTGCACTCCCCACCAGGGTCACTCCCCGGGTGGGCTGGCCTGCTTGATTGAAGCATCCAGGGCCCCAGGGGAGAGGCAGGAGTGTGGGCCCGGCACGTCAGACCACCACCACCACCATGACCACCATTTCCCCCAACCCTGATGGAGACAGCCCAGGACCCTAAACCCAAGAGCCCTAAGAATAGCCATGCTTCCAGCCCACGTCCTTAGTCTTCCTCCTGGGAGCCAGCCCCTGTGGTCATGTAGCCTGACACCTGCCTCTGGAGATGCTGTAGCTGCAGCTGCTGAAAACCTAGAAAAGGAAATGCTAGTTGCCACAGTTCTTGGCCCTGTCATTTAGCTCAACATCAGAAACTGATAGGACTTCAATCAGTGGAAGTGACATTTTAAAAGTGGCCTTGCCATCTGCTTTCTGGCTGTGCCCTAAGGACCGCAAGCCTTTCTCATCTGACTTGCAGCTGAAGCTTCCAAATGTATTGTCTCCCCCTTTAGAATATGAGCAGGGGCAGGCTTACCTTTCATGCTTTGTACATAGTAAGTGCTTAATAAATGCTTTGAGAGCAGAGAGAGAAACCAGAGGATGTTCCAGCTTGCAGCATGGCAGTGGCTGTGGCTTAGTCATTTCCTCTCCCCTTCCTCTCTTCCCAGCATCTAGGGGGCAGCCTAGATAGTAGGAGTTAAGTAAATAACAACGATTGCACGTGATTTGTCTTTATTTGGTGATTCAGGATTGTTGTGAAGATTGGTTCTGAGATATATGGATGCCCATGGGGGCTGCTGAAGCCAGGATGCTCAGTGATCCCGCACTGTTGTATTTTACTAGTTGGGCTTTTGTTCTCTCCTCTCCTGTGTTACCTTTCAGTTTTTTCTCCTGTTGACTGAGTAGTGGGAGAGGGCTTGCCAAGCAAGATTGCAAAAGAAAACAAATTTAACTACATTCATAAGTTAAGCTTGGGCCTGAGAGCCTGAGGATAGTACTACTCCTTTCCCTGAGAGAAAAGCATGCAGACCCTGTGACAGTTAAATTCCTCATATTGAGAGGCCTGTCTCCCCACCCCACCTGTGCTCTAGATTTGTGACTGTTTTCCCAGGAGCTTGGCTGTTAGTGCCAGAAGTCCTATAGCTAGATATAGTATAGTACTTTCTGTATTCCTCTGATTAAATTTCAGAGAGACTTAGTACAGTTTTCTTTGCCACTTGCTTTGACTCTTTATTTTTCTCTCCTTTCTTTGCTATGTGCTTGGCAGTATAAATTATTACCTCCATTTGGGGGAGATAAAGGTACAGAACCTATTAATAACATTTATAAACAGAGGTTAAAGAGGGCTTAGGCCTTGTCCTCCAAGAACTTGCAGTCTAGTAGTGGAATATGACATGACAAGAACATGAAATAATGCAGGACACATGAATGAGAGGTGCAAGCCAAAGCCTGGGAGTCAGGGTTAAGGAAAGCTTCCTGGACGAAGTGATATTTGAGTTAAACTTTAGAGTGTGGGCAGAAATTAAATAGAAGACAGCACAGGAAGAGGCAGGCAGGTGGTCAGGCATGTGCAGGTGGAGAATGCTGACTAGTCCTTCTGGGCTGCAGCACCAAGTATATGGTAAGAAGTCATAGAAAATAAACCTGGAAGAGTCGGGCAAAGTTGACGTAGAAGGTTTTGAATGTGGGGCACAGGTGTTTGGACGTCACTTAGTGTTCTACACTGAGCCGGTGAGGGCTTTTGAGCAGAGAAGTGATGAGAGTAGATCTGTGAAGAAGAGCCTGTGCAGGTAGACTGAAGAGCTAGGAGAGCTGATCTGTTAGAAGGTTTTTGCAGTAGTCCAGGTAGGTGCCAGTAAAGACTTGTGGTAAAGTAAAGTAGTGGTGGTGAGAAGAGGAAACAAAAGTAAGGAATATGGCAGAGTTAGAGCCAGTAAGACTTAGACACTAAGTAAGAGGGAGAGAAGTGCAGATGATAGGTTTTTATGTGGGAGATTGGGCAAATATTGGTCCTGTTGACAGGCATAATGAAATCAGAGAGGAGTAGATTAGGGGGCACATGACCTAGATTTTGAGCATGTAGAGTCTTGGTTGAGTGCTATGGGGCATGTGAGTCTGGCGCTGGAGACAAGGTAGTAGCGGAGGTATGGGAATGAATGATGGAGAGAGTATGGAAAAGGAAAGGAGAGCATTAAAGACATACTGCACCTTGAGGGACAGACTTTAAAGGATCAGGAAGAGGAGTGAAGAGAGAAGTCACTTGGAAGCTGAGCAGGGCGAGAGTTTCCAGGAGAGGGAGGTGGGTGGTCAGCAGTGTGGCACCTTGCCAAGAAGGTGAAGTAATGAAAGAGGCAATTGGCTTGGACAGGTTTCTTGGAGGTTATTGATTATGTTTGAGAGCAGTTTTGGTACAGTGATGGGATCAGAAGTTAAATTGCAAGGGACTGGGGAGATACAGTAGAAAAGGATTGGGTGTAGTCAGTTTTTTCAAGGAGTTTGGCTAGTAGTAAGAAACAAAAATTAATGTTTTGAGGACAGGAAAACAAGGCATAAGAAGATATTTTTTCACTTCCCTCAAAGAGTGTTAGAGGCAAACATTCATATTTATGTAAAAATTCATTGCTGTTTTGAAGAGGGAGTTATAAATTTTAATATGCTAATTCTTCATTTAACAGTATGCTTATTCACTTGACTAGACACCACCAGTGTGAATTACTATATTGATCTGACTGTAGGCTGCTCCCAAGTGTAGCCCATGCCACTAAAATGGCATTTCTTTCTTTGAAAGAAAATTCACACACACACACACACACACACACACACACACACACACACACCCCCACACCCCTTTCCTACACTCACAAAAACAAAGTGTCCCAAAAGTCTTAGTGCATGTTATGGCTTTCATAGCTTTAAATTGCACTAAGACTTTTGGGACAGCCCGTTAGTCACACGTATTTATTCACTGAAAAAAAAAACATAATTTGTAAGCTTCGCTTGGATTTTATGCAAGTTGTATTTAAGGGTAAAGTGTAGTCTACATTCTTACCAGTAATAACACTCAACTGCTTTTCAATATGCCTGCCAAAATGTATTTACAATTTTTTTCTTTCTCTCCCAGGTCATATAAAAGTGGTTCCGGAGTGAACAATAGAAGAACTGAATTATTTCTGAAAGAACATGACCACCTACGAAAGTAAGTATTATTAAGTGAGCCAACATAGTGTAGTTCATAGAGTGCTGAATTGGAGTCAGAAGACCGAAGTTCAAATCCTACCTCTGCCACTGATTATCTGTATGACCCTGAACAAATCACTTAGCCTATCTGGTTTCATTTGCTTCCTCTATAAAATGGCAGATTTGGGCAAAAATGGCCTATAAGGTCCCCTTAACTCTAGATCAAGGTTCATATAACTGTAAGTGGGCATTCTACATAGCTTGCTTTCTATTTGTAAAAGTCCTACTTGTTCAGAACATAAGAAAAGATGCTATATATATAGTAGAGTATCTAAAATTTTCACGAGGAGGAAGTAGTGCTAATGTAGCTTCCTTGGTGATCTAAGTCATCAATACCTTATTTATAAGGAGTAGATAACTTAATTTCACATGTAACTTTAAAAAAACACCATGTAATCAACTTCCTAATTAGAGTTAGCAAAAATGGGGTGAACTGTCCTGTGTTAGGTTGTGAGCCTCCTGTAACTGGAGGTGTCTAAGCAGCACCCGTGCCTGGGATGCTGTCCAGGGAATCCATCCCTCAGGTAGCAGTTGGACTGCCTGACCACCAGGTTTCTTCCAGTTCTCAAGATTTGATCCACACCTCTCCTGTGTGTAGCTTGGTACATAGTAGGTATTTGTTCTTTGTTTACTGAATTGAAACATTGTCACAGGCAAATACGGATCTAGATGTGTTGTAGATCCTCAAGGTAAAATTTTATTTTGTTTATAAAAATATTAAACTAAAGGTTAGCTTTGTGTGTGCATTAGATATAAGGAACCTCGCATGTGCTAGGTGCTTAATGGTCAAAAGCAGTTGAATCTGAAAACTCACTGTTAAGGTTATATAGAATGTTCAGAAGAAAATGAATATGTACAGTTCAAAAATGTGTCCGTTAGTCCCAGGGAGTTGTTGAACTTTGGACATTGTTACTGAATATTGCTAGAAAGAAATGCCAAATTAAGTAAATTGATGGCATTACTAGAATAATGATTCAAATTGTAATTACTAAAATGGGAGTAATTGTGGGAAGGAGAAAGGAAGAAGGAGGTTGGCTTCCACTTCGAAATTTGAGTTTTATTGTATAGTGTAGATGAGTCATTCTTATAAACATACTTGCATGTACACATACACACACCTTAAATTTCTCTAGGTGAAGATGAAAGTATCACTTAACAACTTGCCTGTCTTGTAGGGCTATGGGCCAGACTCTTAAGAGAGACTCCCTGAAAGTATCTTCTTCCGGGAGAAAGAAAATAGTATAAAACAGCTCTCTGATCTGATCCTTGGGTGTCAGTCCTCTGAAGCCCTGGGGGCATTAGGTAGATTCTTAGGATCCTAAGTTTAAATCAGGAAGGGACCTTGTAGGTCATCTGGTCCAACCCCATTATTTTTGAAATGAGGAAACTCAGCCCCAGAGAAGTCTAAGGGTCTTGCTTAAGGCCGCACAGGTATTAAATGATGACAGCTGAGCTGGGATTGGAACTTATACCTTCTGACTCCAGATAGAGAGAGGCTTTCTGCTGCAATGTGGTTGCTCTCTGTGAATTGTCTTGAACTTGAGGAAGAAAAGAGAATCTTTCTTGCCATTCTAGGAAACCATTCTGGAAAGTGAAAGTCTTAAGCAGTGATGCAAATTCTGCCACCATTTCTGAGGGTGGATGGTCCCTTCTCAGTGACTTTTCATCACAGATGTTGAGAATGATTGATTCTTTTTGAGTAATGAGATTTTTATTATGGAATTGAAGGTTTTCACTTTGTGGAAAAGAGAACTAGAAGGACTGTATGTACAGTGAAAATCTCTTGGCAAAGATGGATGTAAATTCTTCAAACTTCATCCCTTTAAAAATAACTTTTAGATGTATGCTAAAAATATCTTTATCTAGCCTTATGCTTAAGCCAACCTGTTGTACCTAAATTTAATCCTTAAAACAAGTCCTGTAATGAGCATTAGATGAAGAAATTAAAATTAAAGAAGGCTTTGGAGTCAATGGCAATTTTATTTTTAAAAATGATTTCCCCTTGCCCTGTATTTGAATCTTAGTGTTGTATCATGTTAGAGAATGATAATAGTTACTTTATTTGGAGTTAAGGTTCGCCAAGGAACCCATAGCAGCTAGAAATCCACATTTAGCTATTTGTGCACCAGATCTTGAAATTATAGACAGTATCCAAGTGCTAAATAAAAGTTAGTTTTTATTGATAGTGCCTGAATTAAAAATAATTCCTGAATTTTTAGCATATTGCTTCAAAGTACATAATAAGGCAACTTCTGTGTGTGTGTGTGTGTGTGTGTGTGTGTGTGTGTGTGTGTATTTTTTCTATCCAAAATCCAATTTCTGCTTTGTCATGGTATTTAGGAGTCTCCTAGAATATAGAAGAGTATGCTGAAACCAGTGAAATTTGTTTTCTTAAAAATACATAAAAAGGAAATACTGAGGAGGGGATTCTCAACAATTTAACTTGCCTGTCTTATTGATCTCTGTGAGTATTTTTGCAAGGCAGGTCTGTACTTGGAATCAGAAGGCTTGATTTTGAATAGTGCCTCAGGCAGTAACTGTGACTGTGAGTGTCATTTCACTTCAGAGCCTGTAAAATGGTACCATAATACATGTACTTTGTGGGAAAGATTGTGGCTTAATAGAATTTTTTATGTATTGGCATGAACTCAGTGTCTGGACACCTAAAGATGTGGTCTCCTTATTAGTTAAGCATCATACAACTGTGCTGATATTTGTCTTTGTCCTAAATTATGGTCACGTCTTTGTGAGTAAACTGTGACCACTGTAGTTTTCTTTAAAAGTCATCACTTCAAATGTAAGAACTATTGAAAATCGGAACAGAGACAGTACTTTGAGAGACTTGAGTGTTTCAGATGTTGGGAAGGAGTTCTTAGCATTCCTTCCCTCTTCAGAATTCTAAACGAGCCTTGATTTCATCAGTTCTTGTGATAAGCCTTTCTGAGTTCAGATAGGCTGGTTCTCAGACAGAATACACAAATGAAACCTTCCCAACTCAGTAGGGTTTTCCGTAGTTTGCTCTTTGGTAAGATTCCCCAGGCACTTTCATTGAGGGCTTCCTCCTTGAGATGGGGATTTTTATTTGTTGACACAAGGGGGCAGTGTTTCCCAGAGTATGTGTGATCTCCAGATGTGGATCTAATTTTGGTGGTATTCCACACTAAAGAGCATTTTGTGTTGTGACCAGGGCTTCACAATCCAGTGTTTACAGGAAATAGAGTGATGATTTAAGGAAGGTAGTGTTAGCCCACAGTTCCTCGCACATAGCAGTAATCACTATTTGTTGAACGAACAGAAGGTGATAGAGATTTTGTTTTACATTAGTATTTCCCAAATCAAATCATTGAACTCTAGTGAAATTGTGTATGTGACTTTGTAAACCTTAAAACATCATATGTGTCCTGTGAGCACTGGCCACTGAGCAAAAGCAGCCTGGTACAAGCCCCCGCTTCTGACACTCCTGGCCCTTTGATGCTGGGCAAGGCTTAGAACCGCTCAGTGTCTGGGTTTACTCTTCAAGTTGGCTACATGCGTTGGGGAAAGGAAATTCTTCCCTGGGAGCTGTAACTGTTTTGTGGAAGGCTGGTTAGTGAATGGGTAGCTGAGCTGGGCATAGGGTACAGATTACCTGACTAGCATTTTCCATTGTATATGAAAATCAAATGAGATAATGTAGATAGTATACTGTACATGTACCACAGAGACTGCTGCTGTTATTGCTAGTAGTAATGAAACTGTTAAAGAAGAAATACAGTGGTTTAAAAACACTCAAGGAAAAATAGAACATTTGATGGTGAACATAGTGTGTGGGTGAGAGAATCCTTCCTTGAGAGACTGTGTATACTTACTAGCTTTCATTTGATGACTTCAGGACACATTATTTATTAACAGACGTGCATTTAGAAAAACTGCTTTGCCATCATTTCCATTGGTCCTCAAAACAAAATCTTAATGTAGCTTAATATTGTTTAGCCACAAGGTTTGAATCATTTGCTCAGTATCTTGCGGAAAAATAGTGACAGGAAGAGGATGAGAACTTGTGAGCTCAAGTTGCAGTGTGTAGCACGGCTTAGTGACTCACGCCACCTCAGAAATGACATCAGACACATCTTCGGTGCTTAGTTCACAGTAGTCCCAGAGAAGGAGCGCCCTGGTTTTTCTAGTCGAGAAAATGAAGTCGTCTGAGACAGAAGAACTTCTGGGGAGCAGCTAGAAACCAAGGGCATAGTCATTTCTCACTGTTGGAACTTAGCTCCTCAAAATAGATCAAATTGATTTTGGGTATAATTAATGAGGAAATTTGTTTGCTAATAGCAAAAAATATGTTAAACAATGGTCATATCAAATAGTAGGAATATTCTTTCTTTGTTTTTTAAATGTGGCCTTTGTATTTCCTGTAAAATGTTAAGTGCTTGGCACTAGATTTTTAGATTAGTGTAAAATAGAAAAGTGAGGGCAGCAGCTAGAACTTGGATGTTTCAGTAAGACTGTTTGTAATTAATTGGATAAATTTCCTGCCAAGGTACTTATTACTCTCATCTTTCATGAGGAAAGACTTTACTATAGCAAGTTGGGTAACTGAATAGTTGCTTATAATAGAATAGGATGATTTTATGTTTTTATTCATAGAAGGAGTTTTAGTTTCTTAGTTTCGTATTTTTCTTAAGATTTTTGTTGTTACATGGAGATGAATGGGTTCCAAAGATATTTTAAAGCCATAATTTTGCATCAAAAAATAGTAGTGATGTATTTTTATTAATGGATGCTGATTTCTAAAAAAAAAAAAAACACCAAAAAACCAACCTAGCTTTTAGTGGTTATTTAGCCTAGGTCTTTAATAACTTTTTGTTAAATGACGTTTGTGATCTTGTAACTGTTCTTATGGACATAGTTATTTTTCCCAGTTTGACTGATGATGAAATTCAGGTCACTTGCCCGCTTGACTTGATGTCATAGGAG